TTTTCCTCAGGCTCCTGGCTTTTCCGCGGAGCCAAACTTTGTTTGCTCTCCCTCTTGGGTTAAGGGGGCTCATTCACTCCTCACCTGCTCCTGCCTTTTTGCTGAGCGAATCTTTGATTACTTTCATAGCCAGAGGGCTCCTCGCCCTTTAATATAATTATACACATACACACATACATTTTTATTTTCCATTTCTATGGTTTTTGTTACTGTTTTAAGACTCCCTTTTTTGGGAGGGGGGTTGTTAAAACTGTTTAATAGGCATAAAGCTAAAACAGTTGGCTATGATATAGATCAATCACCATCCCCGGTCATGAGCATCGGGGCCCAGATTGCCTTCCATTGCACCTATGCCTGGTCGACCGGTCCGTTATACTCCTTGTACACATTCTGTAAGGGCTCAATCAGTGTGATCTCAACTTTTCCCCTTTTTTTTACACAGAACCCATCCTAAGTGAGTGAGAAAGAAAGTGTTTCAGTGTCTTTCAATCAAACATTAGCCACGAAACCCTAAGAAAAAACATCAACAAATAAAAGTAAGGATGTTGGCATCAAGAGTAATACTTTAATTTGTGTCCCCAACATCATATTGAATGAGTTCAAAACCACATTTCTCTGTTGCATTTGCCCCTGACACCTGAAGCTGGATCCGCCCCTTAAGCCCACTTCTTGCAGAAACACTGCCTTCACTTCTTCCTTTCGGTCTTATCTCTAGAATCTTGTCGAAAGGCATGTTGATTTATATCACGACTGGCATACCCGTTGCTCTGTATGCCTAAACAGACCTTTGCTTTATTTATGAATCTTAGCTACACTTCTTTATGGGCAGCCAAAAGAACAAACATGTTCTCCCACACTGCAAAATAGTCTAGAGCCTCAATCCCCTTTCTCCTCCAACGATTGTTAAAATAAGAAGAAATGTCATAATGTTTTCCTCTTCCTCCACTTCTTTCCTAATCTTATTTTCAACATTTTCCATTAATTTTTATAACCATATTTTATTTCCGAATATATGCATTTGTGATCTGTCATCGCTTTATCATATATAGTACGAAAATATCTACAGCTGTCCAAAAAAACCAGGTTTCTTGAGGCCATTGCTTGCAAAGCCCCTTGTAACTGCCATGTCAAAACTGAAACTTTGTAAATTGGGTCTGCACCGCAAGTTGCACACCCTACCTGGAGTCATCCTTCTTTGAATATCGAGGGGCTGGTCTGGTCACGTAGGCCTATTGCCCACAATTTGCTATTGAGTCATACAACGCAAACTCACTTACTGTCTTCTGAATTTCTCCTGACCTCATTTAGTCACCAAATAACTTCTTACTGTGAGCTACCTTATGATACCCCACTTATCATAGCTTCTTAGTCAAAACTATACTAAAATTGGCCAGAGCATTTACGACTAAGCTAATCCAATCGTTTGTATTTCTCGATGTCCGCTCACGCTAAGAACCACTGTGCATAACAACATTAAGCACTTAAAGGCTGTCTACCACCAATGCATAGCCAGTTATCTATTGAAAATGCCCTTGCACTCGCATATCCACCATTATTATTGTTCAGCCTTGACACCATAAAATACTAATCCACATATGTGTGTCAGTGTTTTCAAAAGATTTTCCAAGTGTAATGAACCGGTGACCATCTTCATAAAGTATTGCACTGAGGCTTTCCCAGATGTCTACATGAAAGTCTTCCCACTCCAATGGGCCCCAAACCGATCATCATAAAATGGCATGTATGGCAATTAAACCCTGCTTGCAACAATGTCACTGAAGACTGAAGGCCCTAGCAAACTGAGGAATTTGATGGATTTGAGTTTAAGCATAAGCTGCATGTATGTACTTGTTCAGGAAGCCCAGATAAGGCTGCAAGCACATGTGCGTGGCATAAATCAATTAAACAACAAAACAACTTTTTGTCCTATACGTTCCTTAGTCCTTGGTCAAAGCAAGAAACAAACCAAAGGATTGTGCAACCTCCTATCATGATTGTGACTCAGAAAAGCACCTGCCATAGACCAGACAACGAATTCAATGCAAAATAATACCTAAGGAAAGCACACAATGACGCTGGCTGACCTTGCTACTCTGTACCTATGCAAATGCACTATTCTAATCAAGCAAAATGGTTGAAATGCTCCTTCACTGAGCCTGTAAAGGCTGCAAACCCTAGCCCTTTAAGTCTACATTCCGTGTTTGTTATCGTGTCAGCGGCAAAAGCTAAATATGCCCTCCAAAATAAAGGCGTTCCACCAGAGACCTTATTCGGCCTGAACTTTTCCTGCCATTTTCTCTAAATCCATCCGTCTTGGAGTAGAGGAACACCGTTGGGGGTAATCCCGACTCAGTCCTTCACTTCATGTGATGTTTTATACATAACATGAATTATCTTTACATAGCATGAATCATCTTTACATAACTAGTCATTAAACAGGGTCATCTCATAATAAAGTGAACCATGGAAAATGTGTTTATGTTGTCTTTGATAGGTCTGCTGTGGTGCCCAGCACAACTTGCCGAACTGTTGGGCCACTGAAGGCCTGTACACATAGGGCTATTACAGTCAATTTTGATACTACTCGTTGCTTCACGACAAATGTAATCTCACGCTTGGGTGGCGGGTTCCTCTATGCTGGGGGGTTTATATTAGCAATGCCCCCAGCCTGGTATGTGATAAAAAAACATACATGCACATGGACATACACAGAGTCAATATTCACTGAAATATAAGGTTGTATTTGTCGGACCGCTGACAGCGCCGCGCCCACCGATCTTTACAGCCACTCTCCTCATCACAGAAGGCAAATAGCAAGCCAAATGAATAAAACCTGAAGAACATTTCCTTGTAAATACTAAAATGCCCCAAGGAGATGGAAGGAGATTTAACCATGGTCTAAATGCCTTGCTCCCTGGGCGTTCGAATTTCAAAGACTAAAATGGGGTTTGGACATCTCCTACCTGTTCTTACTGGATTTAAATAAAACTTCCCTCTTGCACCAACTCCATCATGGTGAGAAAATGAACCAGTAACATCATCCACGAAGCCTTTCCTGGGCGTTTCCATTTAAAACTTGCAGCAAGCTGACCAATTTTAATAGCAGGATCATGGAAATGACATGAGCATAACCGGAGCTGACACAAAACGTGTGCGACCGTGAAGCAACCTGATTTTAAACTGATGCCCTCTTGCGCCCTCACGCTTGCAGCGATGCAAATAAATCACAAAATTGTTTCAGACATGGCTGCCTGACAAACAGAGACAGACAACTGCAAAGGGCTGAGGAAGATGTGATGTGGGTAATTCCAGAAATTAGGGGTCCAGTTTTTTTCGTTTCCCTGTCACATCTGACATATGATTTTGTAAGTTCAAAACACATTTTCTTATTTCCAAGAGTAATGAATTAATGCAAATCACCTGCTAAACAAATAGTACTAGTTTGAAATCAATTTTGGTGATATTTCCATGTCAAATAACAAAGGTCAGATGTAACACTGACACAAAAATGTCACACTTTTGGACCCCCAATTTCTGGACTTTCCAATATAGAAAGCAAAGAATCTACTGCTGTCCCTGGATAATTAGTTTATACTTTGCACAGCTTTTTGACTGGCAAATATGCATGATGCATGTCACAGCTCCTTGAAATTGGCCTGCCAGAGGTCTTAGTTTTATGAAAATTCTTACTTACTGTCTGTGCCAACGTCTGGTGCATCAGAGCTTTCCCTGGCACTGAATGTGATCCCCTGGTCCTCGTCCTCAGGCTCTTCTGTAGTGATAACTACTGCAGGGTGTTCGTCAGATGCTGGAAGGTTTTCTGCAGTGTATTGAGAATACAAATATGTCAGGCATGTAACAGGAATTAAAAAAAAAGAAAGGAAATCCACCACTGCAAGAGATTTTGTACAGGTTTTTTCATTTTGTAATGGCATACGAGAGAATTAAAAGATGTGAATACCAGCTAAAATGAGGAAGAGCTGCATGTCGACAATGAATGACAAATTCCCTTATTTCTGGCACATCTATTATAGTTACATTTCAGCAACAGGAATAAGTGTAACTGTACTGCACATCAAACGGGACTTTTAAGCAATGAGTCAGGGAACCCACAAGAAAAACTTGATTTTATTTCACGATTTGACTGCCATTGAACCAACCAAATGATGAAATATGGAGGAGAATAAACATATATGATGAAGAAAATGCACCAATTTTAGTAATATTAATCATTTTTTGGTGTTGGAAGTAAGATCCTCAGGACACCAAACGTTTGAATGGGGTGGAGCTGGCAAACGTGCATCAGCCACTGAAAATTGGAACACGGAATGACAACTATACCAAACATTCTGCACCAACCCTGCCATGTTCGTTACGGTGGTTTTGTACAGCAATGAGTTGCCAAAAGAAAGAGCAACCTAATCCATCCTAAGCTGGAGTGTACCCTCACCAACAAAAAAAGAGACAGGTTGGTGAGAAGTTTTTCAGCAAAGACCATCCATTCAAACATAAATTGGTCGTACACGCTCAGTGTATTCTGCTCAAAATGCCCCCATAAACCTGCGCACGCACGCAGGGAGTTCCCACCAAAAGGCCATCACTGCTATGTAAAATACACGGCCTCTCTCGCACCCGCTTGGAGTGTACGATGAAGTCTGTCCAGCCTGGAGAAATTTGGACTATTTTCAGCAGAGCAGGCGTGCAACTCAATTCCCAGCTCACAGACAAAACCCACCTGGTTCTTTGTTGTGGTTCTGTTCCGGCTGATGATGACGCATGGCGATCTGCCTCTCGCTGGCACTGTTATGCAATGCCAAGCTAAGCAGTGGGTTGCTCTTGTGTTTTGTGTTATGCTTGTGGGACATGCGTCGCAGTTGGATCCTCAGGCTCCGGTGCATCAAGTGAGAAGGCTCCTGGATATCACTGTCCATGTTGCGTGACCTACGGTGAGTGTGCTGCAGAGACACACACAAAATTCCAATTGAATATTTCTCCCCTCCAAATCCTTCCTATTTGATTCAACAGAAAACCAACACAACCCAATGCTACAGACCTACTAACAAGCCCAAAATACTCCCAAACAGGTGCAGAATATCAGCTCAGTCAAAGCCACAATTTCATGGAATTGCTTTGCAGAAATGATTGCTCATCAAATTTATAAATCAACTAATCATTTGGAACCAGTGATAACACACCAGAAATATGTACATGATTTGAATATCTGACAGGCAGCCTGTGTTTGAAAAGCAAAATATGACCATGTCTAAAGTATTAGGCAGCATCTTGAAATTATGCAGGAGAAGGCTTGTGGTTCAAGTGATTCAGACATGGCCCATATTTTTTAACTTAAAGTCTGTTTTGACAGCTCTGTGCACTTTACCCCTGGATCAAAGGCAACAAGCCCTTGCATACAATTTCTGCTGGTAACCTGTTGCTGCTAAGCAACATACATGTACATGTACTTTGCTTGGCATTTGGTCAGGTAATGTGTTGCTATTAAGCACATAAATTCGGCACTTCAGCTCCAAGAAACTGCTACCTGCTAAGAAACACACTCACAGGCAGTGGCTTTACCACAGTGCTGTAGTTTGTACTTGTTTGAATACCAAGTTCCATGCCAAATATTGAATTGGTTAGAGGAAAAAAGCTAAAAAACATGGACATTTGATGGTAAATGCACAATCTGAGCCAGCTTTTGTGTTCTCACAAAATGGTTTTCAAATGTTGGATCAAAAAAGCTATGTTTACCACCTCGAAATGCTTATTTTCAAATACAGCAATAAAATAATATTCTTTCATTTGAAAAAACACTTCCATCAAATCAAAAAATGGAGTGGCTCATCAGTCCACTGCTGCACAGAAAGTGGTCCAATTTATGCGGATTCAGTGTACTCTTGGACACACTTGTATTGCTTGAAAACAATATCTTTACCTAAATAAGTAACAGTTTCGTGTCTTCAGCTCAGTAGAAATTATGTTAAGAACATTCTTTGAAGAAATTAACTTCAAATGAAAAGACAAACAAAATTGCAGCATTCCAACAGCGGATCACATCGTATGCCAAGTTCCCTTCTCCCACTGGAGTTCACTATGATCAATTGTATGGTGAAAGTTGCAGAGGTGCCAATGAATAGTCTGGTTAGCAGTCCCTGCATTATGGTATGGACTGTGGGACGGGGACTAGTCTGTATCACGATGTGATATCACTGATGTGTGATGTCCAGCAGTGAGGATAGCACGTTTAGTTTTTGTATTTTCATCGTCAAGTCACGTTATCATTCTGGGCCAAAAAAAAAACAACAGTATCTGAGGCAGAGGTTTAACCACTTCCTGCCGGGTGACCCGTTTTCGAGTACGTAGGCTTTAGATGCAGAACCGGCGAGCCAGGAACTGGGACAAAAGAAACAGGGCCTTATAACAAAAGACCGTACTCAGCACAAAAGACTGAGCTGCTGGGAATTACTGACATTTTTTCGCTCTCACTAGTGGAGATAATCCAGCATTGTTTTGAAACAGTATACCAGTATACGGTTTGAGGCATTTAGAGCGAGCGGATTACCACCGGGGACAAAAGCTCTCCACCACCGCAGCGATGAACCACACAGCACCGCTGCATGCTAATCTGGCCCCTATTGAAAAGAAGTCAGCAGTGCACTGTGCCGGTTTCAGAAACAAAAGAGTCTTCCGTAACATCGCACAATCTGGGCTCTTTTTCCAAGGATGTAGGCCTGGCTGAAATATTCAAAAGTCAATGAAGGTTAACTGTCAGCTTTAGAGTAGTGCCCAAAGAGTCCTTCATGTAGGTATAAACATCCATTAAATGAAATGATGAATTTTTCAAGAATTTTGAAAACAGAAAATCTTGAAAAGGACCCGGCATCTTGTCTTGCTCAAGAAAAATCCACCTGGCAGCAAGTGGTTAACAGTAACTGGTATCACAACTTCCCCTGACTGAAAACGTTATTCAAATGACTGACATCAAAATCAACACTGAAAATCTTACGCGTCTCTGTGGTTTGTACATATTGTCTGCTAGCAGGTCAAGATGGTGTGAGGACGACGCGTGCACAAGTTTACGGGAAACATTGGTTTCAACTTGATGCATATCCAGGCACGGGATGCTGTCATTTACAGGCAGTCCACTGTACAAAAACAACAACACTAGTATTACTCTGAAATTCCATGAAGAAATGGGCAAATGGAAACTTTTTAAATTTTCAGCACTACGGGCATTAGAACATCAGATGTGGTATCAAATTATTAAAAGAAAACAATAAACCCTTTTACTTGAGAGGCATGCCAGCGTGAACTCTTGATTGTTCTCAAAACAATGAATTCAAAACATGAAACAAGTAAATAAACCACAGCACATCACTCACATCGGTCAATTTTGAAGAAATACAACAAAAAGCTAATGTTATACACTACTTTTAACCCGAGTCTTCAATCCTTTAGCTATTTGGGTACTGAGTACTGTTATGGTTCACGTCCCAATTCTCAGTGCAAAGAATGCTTCCCAGACCTATAACACAGTGAAGGCCAGTTCACACTTCTGGTGAACACGAAGCAAATTTGATGTTAAAACACATCTGCAGTGAACTTTTGCCAATTTCAAGTGTAAATATTTGATCTGACATCACAAAATTGAGTCCACATTAGCTTCCACACAGAGTAAGAACCAGCCTGGATGTAGATTTTAGAGGCTTCACGAATGACTTGGAAGAAATGACTTGATGAGTAGTTAACACCTCCTACCTGAAAGGCACTGAGCCGGTCGTAGAGAGCATATCCGATGACTGAGTACGTAGCATGTTGGACATGGACTGGTCAATAGGAAGGGCAAAGGAGCCATGACATTTAATGTATTCTTTGGCATCTTTCTCGTTCAGTTTACTAAAGACTTCTAAGATTTTGGGGTCACCCACTTTCCGTTCACGCAGTAGAACGGGCTCAACAAACCTCATGTTAAAGTGCTCCCATCTGTGAACAAAGACAAGGGGGAAAGGATAAAAAGCAGAGTGAAAAAAGCACAACTTATGTGTGAGCAAAAAACTAACAATCCTTAATGACATCTGATGAGAAAAAATAGCAGTTTTCATGCCAATAAACAGGGAGGAATTTCAACATTTCAATACCCGCCATTTACAGTACAGCAAGAATTTTACTTTTAGACGTGACTGTTTTCTACTTAGTTTTCAAGACTGGGACCCCCCAAAATTGGAAAAACAAGATAGTTTCAGGTATGAGGAGTGGTCAATTAGGAAAGGTAAACTCATACATATCCCAAGGAAAAAAATATTTCCTCACAGAAAGGCTGAGGAAGTTGACAAATAAAAATGTCCCCTCTTTATTGAAATCAATACGATCACAATGACAAAACTATTTCATTTTTCCAAATAGCCAAGTAATTTGGGGGAAGAAAATTAATGAACCATGGAGCTCTGCGTGCCATCTTGCAACAAACAAAGATAGAATAACCACTGATGGGATTCACTATCCATGCATAGATCATAAGGCCAATCAATAAACTCAGGCATTCAATACATTAGTCTGGTGCTGTGCCTCTGGGCACTTACTGTCGACCTACAATGACAATTGGTTTAATGTGTTCCATGTAACCAGGAAACTTTAACATTAATGCTTGGGATAAAAAACCAATGCAGACATGCTTTTGTTTACTCACCACTATTTCCAACAGTTTCCACCAACTGACTAAAAAATACATGGTGTTGTGTGACCACAACAATAACAAAAGTGACAATATGGTCCCCCCAAAAAAGGGCCTTGATTCAACTTTCATGTCTTGTACATAACTGCAAAAACTGCTTGCATGTGTCATTCAGCGGTAGCATTACACAAACACAAATTGACTGAAGGTCTAATAAATTGTTCATTTATCAGCAAAGAACATGAGCAAAGTTCTGCTTCACCAAAGGTTACAATTACCATTTTCTTTGCCCTTTTTTTTCATTTTTGAGGATGTTTTCCTTCCTCACTTATGATGGATGCAAGTTTTTCAGGGAACCATAAACAGTTGGCACTTTGCCTTAAATACCATTTGGATACCAGTTCTTTTGGGACTGTACTTGACCACACCCCACCCCAGCCCCTGGCCTTGCCCCTGTGAAAAATTCAAGCCTTCATGCACACCACCATAAAAAATAGATCAATGAAAACCAAAGTCATGCCTCCGTGAATAATGAATACCGTTTGGTAAACAGATGTAGAATCAGTCCAATGATGTTGATTTCATTGTTTTCAGGTACAGTTATCAGTATGTTAGCAGCAAACTCCACTGTGCTGGACCAAAGAGTCAGGCATGCTGTGAGTGCTGCATTGTATGCAAGGACGGAAAGCCAAATACACCGGTAAGGTATATTTGTATAGTGATGAGTTCTGTCTTTTTTGCTAACAGATAGCCAGTTGTGAACAAACAAAATAAGAGGAAAAAAGGAACAGGTGTGTCAAAAGAAAAACAAACAAAAATAGGGAGGTGCGGCCTCCCCTCTTGATTTCCCACAAGAGGTTGTGAGGTTTGAGTCAAACTTAAATTAACTTGGGAATTTTTACAAGCCTACAGAAAACAATGAGTATACAGTGTTTACAAATCTATGCCGGTGTGAAGGGTAAAACCCCCAATGCGAACAACAAATTCCAATTTTCCTAATACATTTCACTCAATTTAGTTAAAAGCATACAGTGTACATGTGATGTAGATTTCCACAAATCAAGTGTAAAACAATCACTTGACATTTCTATATTATATTTTATTCCATGCTCAAGGAATAGAATAAAGTAGTGTGTCTCATCCCAATATACATTTTATGCTATTATTATAATTATGCGCTTTCCATGTTCTGGCTAATGTTCAACTGACATTTGAGAAAATTGCAATTCAATCCGATGGATCACTGAGGTTATGTTTCTTGTATAAAGGCTCTCCAAATTCAAATAAAAAAACAGCAATGGAGGAGCTCATCTAAGGTAACATAAAATGCAGAAGCTGTTATGTACATACTTGTCTCGCCAGTGATGGTGTCCGTATTGGCCTAGAATCTCTTCAATGCCAACCATGAGATGGTCCCCAAGCTTCAGGAACAGAACAGAAAGGAGCAAACAAGTGACCAAAGAATGCTGGGTAGTGGATTTGATCCACAACATTCAGTGTTTCATCGAGAAGTTCAGGTCCATAGCATTGGGGGCTCAGAGGGGCTGGGCTCCCTTGACGAGCATCTGCCCCCCTTGGCAAAATCTCCTAAGCATAAAACTTCTGTTCTTGTGATGTACCACCCTAACTGGTCCTGTACCCCCCCCCATCAAATGCCGGTGACAGGGCTGAAGAGATTACCCTGATGACTATGACACAGGATCTGCCTCATTCAAGAAATTTTATGGGTAAATAGCAATGTGCATTTATACACAAAGTGCATCAACATGTGCCGCTAAAAAGCTCTGACAAAAAGGTCAGGCACATTCTAGAACTGACTTGGGGGGGGACGGCTGACTAGCTTTTGCATTTTTACAGTAAAATTAAGAAAAGATTAAATGCAGTGGGCACAATGTCACAGAGGCTGTGAGTTTAAAGCTTTCTAGGCCCCAACCTGCTGAAACTTTCTCAAGTTTTTGATCTCCACATGCATCTGATCTCCACAAGTTTTTGATCTCCACATGTGTACTCATAAATTTCAAGATGTACCGGTGCTTTTTTTCAAGATTAATTATGCAGATAATTGTGAAATAAGTCAATTCTTTTAAATGACAAATTAAGTAGATCCTTAAAGCCTTAATGTGGGTCTATTAAGTGTGTACTAGTTCAACCACGACCATGGCTAAGATTGCAGGGATGTGGACCAATACTGTACATGCAGTGTACTGTATCTTAGTTTGTTTCTCCAAAAATTCTGTTCTCAAACTGCCATGACAAAGCAACATTTGGTGAAGTGTATCTTTTTTGTAAAATCCTCACATTGACCTCTCTCACCATGGTGGTATCCGGTACCCGTGGGTGTATGTGGCAACTTCCTTGTACAAAAGCCCTGTTTACCTTGCAATCAAAACTTCTCAGACAGGATATACCAGTGGTCTGCCAAATGTCACACCTATTACATTCATAGGTTACAAAACATGCACATCCTCTAAACAATCTATCAAGAACCTGGATCCAAACACGATACCAATGCATCTACGCAGGTCCTACACAGAGAGTGATCCAATTTGAAGTCCTTTGTCAACACTGACTTACCCGCCCAAATATTTCCTCATTCATGGAGGGCTTGTGCTTGGTTGCCTTCCTGACTTTCAGTTTGTTCACAAGTGGTTTGATGGTAGTTCCCTATTTGTGGGGAAAAACGGAAGAAAACTCTAGAATATTCACAGCTGATCTTTCATGCCCCCGGAAGGTGCATCTCTTCACTTGATGCACCTTTTGAGGTCAAGAACTTTGCTGTTGCTAAATTTTTCCCGAAAATGCACAGAAAGTGACGTTCTAGTTAACTCTGAACATCACGGTTACAAATTCTCAAGCTTACCATTTAGAAAGTTCAAGAGGGAAATGTTATCAGATTAGCAAGGTGCAAAGTAAACCAACCTTGCAAAGTGCACAGTAACGATTGCAGTAGAGCACTTAAAAGGAGATATAAATGCGTAATGAAAACAAAATCCTCCAAAATGGAAATTCTGATTAGAGATGAGAAGTTTACCCAACCTTTTGGGAACCCCACAATGGTTTTTCCTTTTAAAAAGTGTTCTTGTACGGTAGGTACCAGGTGAAACAAATCTGATGAGAGTAAAAATGCATTCACCATGTACATGCACATAAAATATTCCTCCTCAAGAATCTTCAATTTGGATAAACTGAGCTTGGCAAGAGGCCAAGTAAATTGTGGTCTTCACAGTATCATTTTCAACATGATTACACCAATGATAAAGAATGACCCCACGTAAGGAACTCCTGACCCCAAATGAAAGAGGAAAAGGGTTGAGTTCCCGGCAATGGTTTTGGGTGTGCAAGTGGTATTTGGAAATTTGTTTGACTAAAGCAGATAGAGAAGCCTAATAGTGTTGACTTCTTGGGACCCCAGGGGTTGTCAAGTACATTTACACCAAGTCTCATGGAATAATACATAAAAGAAATACACTGTTGGCACAAGTCAAGGTAAAAATGCAGCTCTTCTTCCAATGATCTAAGGGGCTGTGTTTGTTCTGGGACAGTCCTACTCTTTTTGAAAATACTTCCTTGAATTCTTTCTGAACAATAAGCTTTCAAACACGACCAGCTTGTGTTTTAATGACAAGGTTATCTCTCTCATGCGATTTGATACACTGAACTATCAAATACAGCAGGATACAAACATTTGGGCATAAAGTTACAACAATAACAAAATAAATCTCAAAATGTGATGAGCATTAGTTTCTGATTATTAGGGGATGGGTACTTGGAAAGGTTAATACGGCAAGTTCATTTTGGTATTTATTGTAAGTGCATATTTCAGATAATTTATTCAACATTAACATCTTAATGATTGACAAGGTTCTGATGGATGAGCACACTGCATGTTGACATTCTTCAGAAAGTGAATAAAGAAAGCAACACACATTTCTACTTTACCCTTACATGATGTAAATGATATCTTTGTGACTTAATCGGCCACAACGTGATATAACAATTACAACTTAAAATCCCAACTTTGAGGTCTTTTATTTTATTTTCTTCCCCTATAACATTCCCCTATTTGTTTCCAAAGTTAGCAAGAAATATGAACTTCCTCCTACTTACAAGTATTGCAGGTTTCCACCTCTTACCTGAATAAAGACAGTGAACATGATCACCACGATGCAAGTTGTGAAGAGAATGGCTTTGCTCAGCACTGTCTCCTTGCACAGTAAGGCAACCAGTGAGAAGGCAATGGCCCCCCGCAGCCCACCGTAGGCCATGATGAACTGCTCCGTCTTGCAGATGTGAGCCAGGCGAAAGGTGTTGGCAACCCAGGTTTGAATAATCACTCCTGCAGGGCACAGGACTTTGGATTACACCACTGTTGCACTGTCTGTTGTGATGATGCAATTTCTCCGATATAGTATTTATTATTTGGTTTTTATACCACATATATAGTGCCCTCAGCTGTAGTCATAACACAGCCTATAAATATGTACCTCTTACTCCGCAGAGTTTAAAAACAACCAGTAAGAAAAACACACATAGGTGGCACACTCTACATGTGTGTACTTGCAAGAGCCAGACAATTAGACAATTGGTACAGTGGAACAGAACAGCACGTATATAACCAATCACGGCCATGACTTACATGTAATATATGTCCAAAATGGGTACACTGAAGTCCAACATGCATGCACTCATGCATATCTGAATGTGTTAATCTATGTTCCAACATATTGGAATTTTTCTTGTGAAACTACCTCAGCTGATCAGAAGAATTACAAAACTTTTTAAGTCTCATCGGAACACCCGGATAATTGACCTAGGCCTACATGTAAATGTTACTTTAAATCGAGATTGTAGCAACTAGCAACTGAACATACATACCATGGCCAGGGCAGTTTCACTGAGCCCCTGATAAGTCCTATTTACAGAACTGGTGACCTGTCCAGATTTGTTTTACCAGTAAAGTTTGGGTAACAGGGAAGAAATTGAGGAAATGATTGTTGCATAAAAGAAACTAGAGCAGCATGGTAGCTACATGTAACTACTTTTAGTGATGAACAAAGATAAACTTTGCATGTGGGCATTATGCCACAACCATGCATAGAGAATTGCATGGAACTTTACAGGGAATAGCAGTACATTAAGTTTCTACAAGGGCACAGAAGAGAAAAGCCAATGGGACCATGCCTAGTTCAGCTTACCGATGCTTCTGTAAAGTAGGCAAAATATGAGAGTGAAGAGCACAAAGATTGTGTTCCACCGATGTTGAGACAGGTCCACCAGTGTGGTGACACCCAGGAAGATGAAGATGATAGTCTCACTGATGCTGCTCATCATTTTCAGAAAGTATTTGATAGTGGTGTGTGATTTCTGTGAGATGTTGGACTCTACATAGGGCTTCATGAAGATAGCACAGAAGACGATTCTGCAATATAAGAATGAATTACAAGCTTTCATAGCGCACAATCCATGGTGGGTAATCCAAAAACAAAAACATTACACCATCTAGTTCAGATTTGCTCATGGCATTGATTGACTTTTCCCCTAACATCGGTGCCATGTTGGCTGGAGACCCACGTGTACGTGTATATATTATGTGGTATATTTCCCCCATTGATTTGTTTTGTATCATGTTTGGCCCTGTTTGACTTAGTAGAATTTCACTCAGTGAAATTCTGAGAAAATTCTGGAAAACCGCAACAATCATCAGTCTAGCTCTGTCAGCACTAAACAGGTACTTTCACTATACGGCATATCACTGGATTTAAATGGCCCAGTAGTGGCCTTTTCTACCCCAATTACACACATGTACTGACATGGGGTTTGCTGTCAGCGTTTAATGTTCAATTATAGATTCGCTTTTATTATTTCTCAAGGTCTGTGTGGTTTACATACATGTATGTGCCAGCATCAGTTCAGTATTTACACTTTACTTGCTGGCAGTTACTGGTAGGCAGTTCATGCAAAACACTGACTGCCTCTATATGGCTGGTCTGACGACATTTTCAATCAGTCTACGAAGATAAGAAATTTCACAAGCTACGGTACAGTGTGTTTTGGAGATCATGTAACCAAATGTCATTTATCAGTGATGCGCATGTACCTATGAGCATGATATTCAAACTCAAATGACCACACAGATCAATGTATTTCTCTCACTAGTCATAGATGAACTGATGGTTTATCCACATCAAGAACCTCCTACATGTGAAAATTCACAAGGTATTGGTAACGGTAGATGCATGGGGCATTGACAAAGGAACCATTTGTACAGGCCACACATGTACATACATGTATTGTTTACCTGCACATCTTTCAGTTTCAGCTGCACGTACATGTACACTGTCACATGCAATTCTTGGTTTGGGGAGCAAATTGCACAGAAAAAAAAGGACAATCTGGCAAAAATCTGCTAGAAAGAATTCATTTGAATATAAAAACAAGTGTTACAATCAGGTTGCATAAGAAATGAAAAGTTGTGATTTCACTAGCGGAGTTTAAAGTTGTAGGCCTGGAAACACTATCAGTGCTGTACAGTACAATTATCATGTGGTGTCAGACAGAACCGGAAAACTCTTACTGCAACTCTAATCTCACCCTAATCAAAATCTTCATGCCACATGGGATGATTTTGCAAAGTTTGAAAGCGACAACACACACAAAGCTACAAACATAAGAAAGTGAACAGGAAGTCAACAAGGAGTTCAATTCTATAACTTTACTTGAAAACAGGATGGTTGAACAACTAAAACCGGACCAGGGGCACAGCTGCTCAGATAGTAGTCTGTAGCCTTGGAACAGAGGGAAGAGCTGATATGAAAGTGATAACCGCACACAGGATGCCAGAAACAGAGCATGCTGCTGTTTTAAGATACTTTTCCCAATGCAGCGTTTTGCCCTGAAATTTTCTGCATCTGATTTTAATTTTTTGTACATCAGGATTGTTCAGCCCTGCAGTACTTGTACAAATCCCATGTGTTACAACATAACCCTAAATTGTTTCAAAGGAGTAAGCCTACCAAAGGCTTACAGGGTGCTGTTTCCCATTAGATAAACATCAACTGGGAACAAGGAAATATATATGGGCTGGCAATGTGCCCAAACTGGTTTACTTCCCACTACACCAGCTGCGTTGTTGTGTTAACCCTGCTCTTAAACAAGGTACACGTAAAGGTCCATGTTTTATGTCTTCATCGAGGGTTGATGAAGTGAAGCACCTGTACCTTTTGTAATAAAGCATGGCAAATTTGGGCTATCGAAGGCATTTTATAGGACAGTCAAGAGGAAAGGGGTCAATGAGGTCAAAGTCAAGCATCAGTCAAATTCTATTCTTGAATGTTCAGGGTCCTGCCAAAAATCCCAAACTTACGACAAAATTGAGGAAAGTCGGAACATCTCGGCAGTGAGGTACGCCAAGTAGGCCATGACAAAGACAAAGATGGGCTCGATGACACGAGCCTTGTGGGTGAGGCGGGTGAGTAGTGCCGTCAGGAAGCCGTAGAATAGTCCAATCAGCACCCCACCGATGGACACCACAAAGAAGGAGAAGAAGCCCCCGATGATGTCAACGGCTAGAAGATTTTCAGCTCCAATGGCATTGAAGGATTCAAACATTCGGTATAGGACCTATCACAAACACGAGTGCAAAGAGAGGGAAAACTATCAGTATACATATAGTACAGAGGTTTGCGACAAATGTACATGTAATTTTAACCCTATCTTTGAGATTGCATCTATCATACTCCACGTATATATTCTCCCCCCCCAAAAAAACAGATCCTTGAGGAGGGTACTGTTGCTCACATTTACATGTTAAGGTGGACCATTGATTAAAAAGAAATGACCAAACAAATGAGATCATAGGCCAAATAAAAGAAAATTAAGGAATATGATCATAAAAATATACATATACTTTCTATCCATTCCTTGACCTCACAACATTTTTGGTCTATTAATCCAGACAGCCAACTCGAATATCATTCTTGTAAAAACACAGCCGTATGCGATGTGCAACAAAAATCACACTAGAAATAAAAGTTGTACTTAAATTTATCATTTAAAGGCAGAAACATTTTCCGCACCGCTTACATGTACACATTCAAGAAAAGATGCACTGGCTAGCTGCACATGCCTTATGATCAATAGCTTGTAACAATTTTTGCTTAAATTACTCAATATTGGCTCACTGGAATAAACATGTCTCACGCTCATAATAGCTGCTTGTTTTTAATTATGGGTTTTGCCCTTACAATGACATACATGTATTCATAACACTGTTCGTGCTCAGTGTTGTCCAAGAGCTTACAAAATTTGACTAAACATGTACGTCAGTGTAAAGTGAAAAGTAATTGTTGAAAATCAAAATTAACATCTTCCTAATTCAGTACATCTTTGGAATCGTGCTGACTACAAAATGCAAGTTGCTAGAAAACTCAATAAAACATACAAAACTTGAAACCTGAATGCTTAACACCGGATTGAGCTAAAAAACGGCAAACATGTGCCGTATGTGAGTAGCCAATCTGCAAATGCATGTGAATTTTCACCTCGATAAGGGGAGAAGCTTCAAAAGTGTCACTTGGTCAGGAGATATCACTGATCCATATGGTTATCAGATTGATAATAGCGTTTTAAACCACAAAAGCCACAAACACAATGAAGCCATTTTACAGGAAAGAGAGATCTGACAAATCACAAATACGCGCATATAAATATGTGCAGGTAAAGGTTTATGTGTTATATTGCTCTATTATTAATGGTGTATATACCATGGCACCCTTTGACGCTGTCCAACTGGAACCTTTTATTCAGAAATATTTGTTATTTTATACATGTAATATATACCAGTACCATCGAAAGTAGAGAGAGTAATGCGCTGGGAAATTAAAAATAATCCTGTTTATAAATTTTGAATTTTTTACCTTTTAAAATTTGTTGAGTGAAATTTTATTTTGAAATAAAAACTTTTAAATGTATTGAAACATGCATGTGAATGTTTTCTGGCATAAAATTTATTTTGTGAACAGGTAAAATGAACATGATAGGTTTCCATGATTTGGCAAAGTAAACAAATTTGAAAAGAAAACTTGAGGTTGATTTTTTTTAAATGTGCCACACATACATGTATGAGACCCTTGGCCAGATTTTTTGCACAACTTCAAGATAATTCATTTTATCAAGTCAAGGATCAAATGCTTGATACTCAGTGGAGGGACTGTTGGACTTATATGGGTGGCCATCCAGTTCCCAAGAAAGAGCATGAAAACTCTTGTCAGGGTCTTGGTTGAGGCAAATGATGCGCAGTGCATGCATTGCAAGAGCCCCCATCAGTATAGTGCATGTATGACGAATGCTTGCACACATTGACACCGTGCTTCTCCATTATGCACGTGAACAGGCTTTCTACCCGGCTTACACCTGGTTATGTGCCATAGGCCAAATGTATTGGTTTAGACTGATGACACTAGCAATTCAAGCTATTTGGTTTTGAGGGTTTTTCGGAGCTATCCAATCGGAAGTGGCATTGGGTACGAGCATCAGTGGATTGGTCAGTGGAGGTAACCAGCAGCCAATCAGGCTGCCCAGCTCTTTCTTATTAGCGGGAGCATGTGGAAAATTAGTCACTTTGTCACAGCTTTGTCTTCAAACAAGTAGTTCAACCCACCACCTCCCCAAATCTCCACCAATATTACGGTTTTTCATTGTTGCTTCAGGCTAGGTTAAGATCCACTTTGAACTGTTGTTGCTAGCAGTTTCTAGCAGAAAAAAGGGCAGTAACAACTTTCACGGAGCATAAATTTAATTCACTAGGCTAACTTTTATCACGTGGTTTCTAGTAGTAATAACGCAGAAGTGTATTGAGCTAACAACAGTGCCCTTGGGTTTCAGTTGGGCTATATGTAGCATGTTCCCCCTCGTTTCCCAACTTGGGGAATTTTGATTGCTCATTTGTTCACTTAGGAGCTGTAACTTTGATCTCGGTTTCGTTGGAGCCAAGTTCCGGTGCCCTTCAGTTTTGCTAATGTGAAGACAAGATGTGTTACATTTAGTCTTTGTGGAGGTCAGGTACAGTTAGTTCACCTGTATCGGGGTCAAGGCCTACATGAGCAGATTTATGTTGTGGTTGTTGGTTGGTGTAAGGACATGTGACAGTGTGTTGTCCTTGGTGTGGTCACAATGGTAATACATGTATATTGAATGGACGTGGCAGTCTATTATTTCATGTGAACTGTTACCTGTATGTCCCGTGTGTCTGTATAACCAGTTTGTCCTGTGTTCGGTATCCGGCTCCTTGCCAAAATTTTAGGTCTCGGAAATATTCACAGGGTTTCTTATCATTTACTGTTCATACAAAAATTAAATTCAGCTATAAACCGTGGCAGAAAAGTCAAATATGTGTCCCGTCACATTCCTTGTTTGAGGATAAAGGCTTTTGTGACACCTAAAACTACTTTTGAAACAGAACAAAATGGAACAAACTGATGGACTCACATTCAACTGGTTGCAAGCTTCCTTCTTGATATGTATGCCAAAAACCAGGTTCTTTTTTTTTTTAAATAAATCTTCACTGTAATAGTTTTCAACTATAGAAAGTTGATTTCAAGCATTCAAGTGGTCACATTGGCTGGTTAAAAAATACACAGGCACACTATATGTACATGTACATGCAGGGGTTTTTCATGGAGCTCTTTGTAGAGATGATTTTTTTAAACTAGAGACAGAGCTTACCACAGTGACTGCATCATTCAGCAGTGACTCCCCAAACACCAGTATGTAAAGCACCTCATTCACGTGCACCTCCTCAAACACAGCCAGCACGGCGACGGGATCCACGGCTGATATGAGACTACTAAACGTCAGACACTCCAACAACGAGATACGTACGTCTGTGCCTGTCCCGGCACTGTACCAGCCCAACTCCGAGATGCCATACAGGGAGAAACCAATTGTAATGGTGTTGAAGAGAGTGCCGATGACAGCGTACATGAGGATGGTGCCAATGTTATCAAAGAATGACCTATGACCAAACAAATGTTGAATGTAATTGACTGAACTGTAGGTTATAAACTGTGATGTAAGCCTGCAAATGTACAATGTAGAAAGCACAAATTTCCTAAGTTCCATGTATATCAGCTTCATGTGCAGGACAGCCACGAAAAAAAATTGAATTAGAGGAATCTGGCTTAAGAAAGTATGTTTCATCATTTGGCAAACTGGGATTAAAAGTAAGAGTTTTAAATCTAGTAATTTGATTAAATGGCATATTGGGAATTAACAATCACCTCCTAAGCCCACATGAAATGCACACAGTATAGCTTTACATGATCCTGAGGAGCAACATAGTTTCTTCAGAGAAACCAGTGTCAGGGGTAAAGCACCGGGTTTCAAACTGGGCTCTGAGGTCAGTCAAAAGTAGAGTTCCCAGGGGTTTGTTTAATAACCACAAATTCAAACTAAAGGACTGGTGAGTGAAAAATGCCGTAAATTACTTGTGCATGTACTTATTTTACATATTACGTGTTACTATTTAAACACTTTGTATTTTACATGTACCTTGCTCTTACATTGTACATATACAAAAAGCAGTCTCGTCACAATAGGCTTGTTTGTGATCCAGTTGCTTTGTGATTAATAAAGTTGTGACTCGATAGGCTTAATTGAAAACTCACTGTATTGAAAACATTTTGTGACCAACATTTCTAATCCCAATAAAACACTTGTGAGATAAAAGATACATATACATGTACACCCATATTTCACCTTGTTCAACTCAGAGGTGGACTGTTTCAATGAAGTAACAATAAATCATCATCATACATTTATCATTTAATTCATATATTAAATCTAAAAAGCTGAATGGAATAAATCAAGTACACGTATGTAGCTTGAATTGAAAAAAAAAGATTCTTGCCAACTTAGAGGGTAACACTTGTCCACGCATGCGCATGTTCACTTTGTCAATACTGTGTGAATTAAAAGGATTTATAGAAACATATTTAGGTCATTCCAGCAATTAGGAGTCCCCCTTTTTTTGGTGTTCCTATCACATGTGATATATGATTTTGTAAGTTAAGATCACATTTTCTAATTTCCAAAAGTGATGAATTAATGCAAATTACTTGCCAAACAAATAGTAATAGTTTGAAATCAATTCTGGTCATATTTCCATGTCAAGTAACAAAGGTCAGATGTACATGTAATAGGGACACAAAAATGTCTCTCTTTGGGACACCTAATTTCTGGAATTACCCATTTGCCATTTAAAATGTGCAAAACATGGACAAATCACAAATTAGTAGAAAAAATGACCAAAAAATTGGAAAAACTTCTCCCCTTACAAAAATGCTGATTAGGGACTATCTATATCCGTGCTCACATCAGTCGCAACAAAAAGTTTCCACAATTAAGACTGGATATCATGGGGACGATGATGCTGTACATCTGCATCTCTTTGTGTGAGTGGACACTGGGCTTTACTCTCACCTTGAGGGCATGAAGTAGCCTGCCTCCAGCATGATAGGAGGCAGAAGGAAAAGAAAGAAGAGGTTGGCATCCAGTCCAGTCTTTAGGCTGTCAGGGAAGGCGTCAGGATTGATTTTAAAAATTCCGCCCATTGCAAAGCCGATGATGATCAATAGGCAGCTCTCTGGGAGAATCTCTGGCAAACGTGTGTAATGGAAACCTGTACCAAAGACCCAGAAAATACATGTCTGTCTTTCCAAATTCCAAAAGGCGGCAGAAAAGTACAGGGAAGGCTCCCAGGCTGGCACCCGTACATGAAGTCCCCAAACCATTAACTACACTGACAAATTCTTTACTGTCCTCACCCAACATCAAGGGCATATGTACCGGTACATGTAACACTGAAACACAATACTTAAACACAAAATATGTAAAATTGACCAGATATGACATTTGAAGGATGAACGAAAAAACAAGGGGCCTTACAATCGGGGGTGGGGTGGGAAAGGAGATACTCACGTTGCAGTATGTTTATTCCTGCACTCACGTTCGGATCAGGGGATGGGCTACATATTTGATCATCTCCACTCTATGCGATAGATGGAGGTTAATTTTTTTTTAATGGATTGCAAGATTACTTTCCTTTATTCCAACAACCAAAATGTTTGACACAAATTTGTAAACAGCACTGTAAAGCAGAGATCAAACACAACATATAAGCACCACCTGGCGGTGTAAGTGTGAAAGTATGTACAGATGTATCACATTTGTAGTAGGGACACTAACTTGGTAGTGGTCTAGTGTGGTGCCCACTGTCCAGCCCCTCCTTTTAAATGTCCATGGCTGCAGTTTGGTTGTATGCAGTGACCTTATTGGGCAAGTAACTTCATCCCTACATTTAGAGAATGGGGCAATTAAAGGATCCAGGAAATGAATTTTTCTTAGAATCACTTTTGTGTGTCTCTGTACTCTTCTTCCATGTGTGGAGACTGTTTGACACCTTTTTTGAGTTACATGAACTGAGCGGTGCACTTTTTCAAAAATTAAAAATTAACCAAGCTTTTCTGAACAAGTGGGAGTGCTTTTGCTTTGATGTAAAGCAAGAAAGACATGGTCCAGGCTGCATGTTTTCATGTTCAAATTGTAAACCCCAAATTTGCTGTCTGGGAACATTTCTGTGGAAAGGATTTTTGCTGGATTATTGCCATATACCAGCAATAAATTGCCAAAGAAAATGAAATCTGCCATAGCAGTGGTTAAAATAATCTAGAAATTTTCTGCACACAAATCAGTGCAATATTGAGATTTAGTGCTTTGGATGACATCATAGTTCTGCTCATGAATATGCAAATATGCATTTAGCATAAAAACAAAAAAACATCAAAGGATGGGTTAAAATTGCAAAACAAAAATTTAAAACAAGGTTAATTAAAACCCAAAGATGTAATTCCAAGGGTTTTCAGTAAAATTTATAAAAATATTTCTATTCCCTGGTTCCTGTAAAGGTCAACAGCAGCATTTAACAAGTAAATGAAAAGGAACAAAAATTCTCAGAATTTATCACTCTATAGAAATGCAGTATCATCCATTCTCCACATACCGCTACTGTGCACGTACCACTATTTAATTGACATGACCCTCAAATAATTGGGTTGCTGATATTTATTACATGTACTACACATGAATAAAGACATAGTTATGGCTGAGTAGCTCAGCGAACATGTTTTTGACAGACTTTACTTCCTGCATCAGGTTTACCCATTTATTTCCTGGTGAGATTACAGCCTGCATGTACATGTACCTGTATACATGTTAACACCATAGTACATATTTATATATAACAGGTTTGCCCTTACCCAACGTATATTATAGTACATACATGGGCCATTTTCCAATACTCGACTTGGGCTCAGTCTCGGGATTCAACTGTTTTTACTTCCTGACTTTGCGGCTATAAGCGCAATAGTAACACTGATAGTGCCACAAAACATCAAGTAAGATGCAAAAGAGCCAAACAGTACTTCAATTTAAGTTAAATGCTTCAGGCTCACAATCGAGGATTAGTTTCCTACATGAAGCCTGAGATGGCGACAAAGTTGAGTATTGCAAAATGGCCATGTGCAGTATACATACATGTACTGGTATACCTGCCAGGAAGATCACACTTGTGCTTTGTTTTTTTAAATTAATCTAGTGGGCCTGACAGTACGTGGTTCTTTTTCAAACAGGATATACTAGTTCCCTTCTCTGTTAAAACACTGTTTGTAAATGGTAAGGATATCGAGAGAGTTGCTGTGCACTTTGCAAGCAAACAAACTTTTGCTGAGTAGTAAAAGTCCAAATTTCAAACTGGCAAAGTATTTCTTTCTGCATGTACTTTATACATGTATACTGCCTGGTAGGACTGGGAAGCAAGATGTAAGAGCTGTGTTCATTTTTTTTCCAAGTCTAAGTCTCAAAATTGTTTTATTTATATAGCCTAAGTCTGAGCTAGTTCAAGTCACAAGGCTAGTTCAAGTCAGATTGGACATGTAAATACCGGTACATGAACATGTAATGCATGACTTCCCTAGTAACAATTTAGAATATATAACAACAAACTGACAAATGATCTAAATTAGTGTCAATTTACATGCTGCATATGGCCATGGCCGATGTAACACGTCCATGCAACATGTACAGCACTTGTCAGTACATACATGTGCATGGTATCTTCTTAAATATTGCAATATTATAAGCACATGTACATAGGGCCTAGATGTGCTGTTTCCAAGACCAATTCTTGAGCATGAATATGCGACCTGCATTTACATCGGCTATGAAGATGAGAAACAAGGTTGAAGCAGTGAACTGCATGAAGTCTGTCAAGTGTTTGCTGTAGACTGCAGTCCTTGACATGCAAACTGCCTTTATATTCCAATTTTTTATTCACCGTCCTCCAAATGGTATGTACTTAAATTGAATTTAAATATACTTTCACCTACATGTACCAATGTTCAAATGTATGACGAATCAAAAATAAAGCCTCAAAATACACTGGATTTTTTTCCCAACAGTAGATCAGGGTATGATGCAGACTCCCGTTACATTTCAATTTGTATTCACCCTTCTTCAAATGGTATGTATTCAAGTATACTTTCACCTGGCAATGTTCAAATACATGTATGATGAATCAAAGACAAAGTCTCAAAATACACTAGATTTTTTTTACAACAGTCGATCACTGGTTCACATTCATGGTCAGGGAGCACGGGACATAGCTCTATGCAAAGTCGGCAACAAGCTCCCTTCTCACAAGATCTGCATTTACATAGGCTATGAAGATGTATGGCTTTCAATTTCCATGAATCAATCACCAGTTTCTCTTCTTTATAATAATACAGAAAGTATATTACAAGAAGCTGCCTACTTGGTGGCTTGGAGTCACTTAGTTTGCTAACATCAACTACCAACTGATGTTAATTTTAATTTTGCAGCCCTGTTGGTAACAAAGTGAGCATTTAACCTCTAAAAAAGGCTCTGATGCTTTGGCAGTAAAAAAAACCAGAGAGCAGCTGACACAAAAGGAATAAGGTACTACATGTAGTGGTAAGACTTCCCCCCCCCAGTCTACTGATTCTAGATTTAAATTAAGACTTAAGTTACACAATCAATCATTCTGAGAAACAATTTCAATTCACCTGCACTTCTACACATTATCCAGTCCAGTGGCTCAATGCAGGAGTTCAATTACAGGCATCTGACTGTTGCCTTTCAATTTGTCAGTTCCATCCCTGGCTTAGTATCTTGGCTCCCTACTGTGACCTGTCAGAGTTCTGTTTACAAGACAAATTGCCTGAGCAACTGGCTTAATGTGACCTGTGTGTCATGAATTAGCCTAGGTGTTAGGAGATGTGCAGTGCAGGGAATGTGTCTGGAGCAGAATTCCAGGGCACCTGTACAGTACTGTACCCACACATAGATGGTGTTTGCTCCAAAAGGACATCTTAAATTTCCACAGCTGGTGAATTTGAGCATACATGTACGGGTACGTGATCACGGTACAGTACATCGTACATACAGTACATGCAGTGCTATGGTTTAACCCCAAAGGAGCCAGGGATTCGTCCTCCATCTGCCCCCCCCCCACATTTTTCCTGACATCTCCGCAGAACATTTTTTTCAGGAGCTGATGAGCCTTTAGGAGTTTTTAGCATAATTCTTTGCTGTCACCAATTGACACCAATTGTGCAAGAATCTATATCTTTCTTGCGCAGCACCCATTTTTCTGAGGCAGGTATGCCAAAAATGTATACTTTCCACAGTGGTGCTCAATGCACCTGGCCTGGCATGCATGTTGCCTGGAGATTTAAATGACTGTAACAACAAAACCATATGATCGAGTTCAACATTAAAATTTGTAATGATAAGGAGTGTCCTAACATGCCTGCCAAATTCAACAAAATCAAACCTAACACAGCTGAGTTCTTTGGGGGGGCAGAATCCCAGAGCACAACCTGTAGGAGTGTAGGGTGTATGTTTGTATTTGGGATACGACACACAAGCACTTAGGGGGGTCAGGTTGGCAAGGTAGTTCTTTCCTCGCCTTCCACCTCTGTGGTCCCGGGTTCAAATCCCAGCCCGGTCCACATGTGGATTGGGTTTTCAGTCCCCACCTGACCCCATGGGTTTTACCCAGAATATTCCTCTGGGGTTTTCCTCCCACCTCTAAAACTGTAACTGCTTCTTACTGTCTCCCCTTTACTGATGTTGGTGAATCTAGTATGGGTCGTTTGGCGGCTGCATGAGGCGCCCTTGTATGCCATCGGCTCAACCATGTTTAAATGTATTCATTGTTCCACGCTTAATGTCTTCATTGTACAGCGCATTTGAACATATCCATATGAAATTTGCACTTTATAAATGAATAAATTATTATTATTATTATTATTATTATTAAGCTACTATCTAGGGAACTCAGACCTTCAAAATGAAATTGATCGTTTGACCTAATGATGACCAAGGGCAATTAGATGAAATATTCATGAACCAAATGCCTTGTACAATGGATGCCCTTTCCATACAACTTTATACTTTTCTTCAATGTACATGTATCAAAACTATTTGGTATCCTTTATCAACTGAAAAGTGTACATTTTAAACATTTTTATATGCTCTTCCAAACAACTGAGAGTGCAGTTGCTGTGATGTCATCCAAGAAAAACACTTATTCACTATAGGTGTTCTGATCAAATTGTGAACCCAAAATTTGCTCATTGAAAAGGTTTATAAAAAAGGACTGCCCACTGCTTTATTGTCAGTACTTAGAACAGCTGCTGAAGACATGGAAACATAGAACGGCACAAATATTCTTAAAACTTCCAGAAGTTTCTGTGTAGAAATCAATGCAACATTGATCTACGCTCCCTGGAGACAGCAGAAAGGTTTGCTCATGAATATGGAAATTTGCATCAGGACAAAAACCAGAAAAGCACCAAAATATGTACACATACCTTTACAATAGCAAACCAACAGTCGAAAATAAGTTAACTGAAACACAAAGGCGTATTTTCAAAGTTGTGGTCAAAATTTTGCATTACAGACCCTTTCACTGAGCCAAACATCCACATCTCCATGTACTCCATTAACCCTAACCTTCCCTTACCACACAGAATTGAACACCAGTAAAGTGTGTGAATTTGTGGCACTGGGTACTGTACCCCTAAACTGTTTGTGCTTTAACATGGGTTCAGGCATATCCAAAATAAACAGAGTCCAACAGTTTTTGTGCACAGTTTACCATATGTTGTTGGAATGTGTGTGAATGGGTATGGTCCCTAGTAAATCACTCTGGGGAGTTAGGGTTAATTAAAACGAACCCGTAATTATAGTAGTTGCATAAACTTTCTAAAATGCAAGCAAAGTTACCAATGTGATACTAGGCAGTACACGTAATAAAATGACACAACACTAGTGAGCACCCACTCCTGTCTGGTCACATCATGTACAATGTTGGCAAACTACTTGTAAGATTTCTGGAGGGGACTTCTAACAATATATCCTTTAAAAGGGGAACATTTTTGTATTTGTGGGCAAGTGAGGAGAAACTTGGAATTTTCCAGCTGCAAGGAAAACCTGAAAAGAAAGGGAAATGTTGGAGAAAACAATACAAAGAGAAAAACTAAATAGAACTATTGCCATGTGCCCCTGTGAACTTGATAAGTTGATCGGATCACCTAAGGTAAATATTATGCCAATACACACCGCGAACTACATACATATGTACAAACACCACTGAATAGCAACAAGGTTGATCTTACAAATGTTTGTGTGCTCAGTCGGCCACTATCAACAAAAGCAAATTTACATTTCAACACTTCATCATATCCAATTACAAGAATAAACACTGCCAAATGTTATCCTATATAGATACTGCAAAGCTAGCACTCAAATCAAACTGATGCACTGATGCAATTTGACAGGAGAAACATTTGTGCTGTATGATCAGTGTTCACTGTACACAGAATTCCTGTTTATTATCTGTTTCTTTCTAACAGATGTTCAGTGAGCTAGTGCTCCAACACAAATAATGAAATAAATGATCAGTGTATGCATGTGGGTCAGCTAGTCCTGAGCACAGGGCAATCTTATGGTCATTTCTGGTCATTTCTGGTCATTATCAACAACCACACACTGCAATAAACCTTCTGAACCTTTTTACGACTGAAAAATTCCCCTTAAGCCACTTGCAAAATGTACACATCAGTTTATTATTGTTAAAGGCATTTACCTCCCACTCAACAGAAATAATAGTAAATCAATAAGAGTCTTAGAATTTTTACCGGAGGAAGAACCTCTGCTCAACAGTTCATGTAGTAACATTTAATTAAAAAAGTAAGTCAGTAAATTTCTTGAACATGTTCAGTGCGAGTTTTTCTATTTGTTTTTTTTTTAATTTTCTGTTCGGTTGAACATATTGATGCATGGACCGCCCAATTAATGTACATAGCTGATTGGATGTCAATTCAGTGCAACAAATCAAAGCATGATTAATGCTTAAGACTACAACACTAAACTTTCACCGAAAAATATCTTGCTCATAAGCTGTGCTGCAAACTGGTCTAATTTTTGCTTTGTTTTGAGAATGGATCTATTATGATTATTGAAAATCAACTATAAGTCCCCTCCTACATCTGTGAGACAGATTTGACATGAAACCCTGCTGTGCATATATGCCTAACCTTTCTAACAGCATCTGGCTGTAATATTAGAGGACTGAAATTAATCTGCCCCTTTTCAAGGCAACAAGATCTTCTTTCAGGTTGGGGCAATAGTCATTCAGGACATAACACACATCCTGGCAGGGTTTAGCGGGTTAAATGTCTACCTGTAAATCCTCACACGTCAACTATCTTATATAAAAGAGGTTACAAAGGGCAGGATGCAAGGGAAAGCTGGGAGAGGCTGCATCAGTTTTCTACATGTGATATAACCAGTGACACTGCAGTAAGTTAAAAGTCAAAACATGTCATAGAAACTGTTGACCTTTCATCCAATGCATGTCATACATGTATTAAGTTTCCTTATAACTGGTATGTCCATTTTTGTAAAGGTATAACAGGGTATGTACATTCAGACAGGACAAAGTTTAAGCAGGACACGTTAACGAGAGCGCAACAAATGTACTATTTCCTAAACAGGGAAATTCTCCTCATGAGTTTACTGGAAGCTTGCCTCTAAAACAAGGGAAAGCTTGCAGGCAAAATTGTTTTTCTGTAAAGGTTATGGTGCATACGTGCATGTATTTGAGAAACGAGGTTGAAGCAGTGAACTGCATGAAGTCTGTCAAGTGTTTGCTGTAGACTGCAGTACTTGACATGCAAACTACCTTTATATTCCAATTTTTATTCACCGTCCTCCAAATGGTATGTATTTGAGTATACTTTCACCTAGCAATGTACAAATGTATGATGAATAAAAAAAGAAAGCTTCAAAATTGTACACTAGATGATGTTTCCAACAGTAGATCATAGTATGATGTAAGCAAACTGCCTTTATATTCCAATTTTTTATTCACTCTCCTCCAAATGGTAAGCACTTAATCAAGTTGTATTTAAATATACTTTCACCTACATGCACCAATGTTCAAATGTATGATGAATCAAAAATAAAGCCTCAAAATACACTAGATGTTTTTTACAACAGACAATCACTGATTCACATTCATGGTCAGGGAGCATGGGACATAGCTCCATGCAAAGTCGGTAACAAGCTCTCTTCTCACAAGATCACGGTGTTAAACCTGTCATATGAAAACAACCCCAGACATCCTGAAAGGTTTGAGGTGAAGCCCACGTTTGCGATTTTCTGTCACAATTTGAAAGGGGCAACAAAAGTTCAAACTTTACCCAATTTGGCCAGGCTCGCAATCATGATCCAAACGCCAATCCCAAAGGGCACCTGAACTTCTTCCCACTCCAAGCTGACCACTTCATAGCGTAAGTGCTCCTCCGCACCCCGGCAACCACTCACATTACCGTACTCCTGTGCTGACACAAGCGTGACCAAGCAGAAGAGGACTACGCCGTGAGGGACCACACTCTCCAAATGTCGATAAGCCATCTTCAGCACAGTTTCAATGGGCCGTTTACTGATGGAATGTCAGCATACTGCCGGGAAATTGTTTTTTGAGGACTTGGCAAAATTATGGACAAGCACTGGACATCTGGTGAAGAAAATCAGAGAAATCAGATCGTTGTTATGCACCGGATCAAAGGACTTCAATTGTCAAATTCAATACAGAGAGTCATCTGTTTAAATTTTAATAGTAAATCAATAAACATATCAATCAAGGAATGCATTCAACGTTTGACAGATAAAAATTCTGAACAAATCCTGATGAAGTGTATTCAAGTACTTGACAAACGTCTTTGCATGTTTGACTAAATGACTTGACTAAAAAATGGCTGCAAATCTCAACCTAGACTTAAAATGTCACACTTTTTGGGGTTACATGTAATTCCATAATAAAAGGTTATCAGAAGAATAACTCTTTAAATATGTTCAGTTGGCAAAATCAGAAAGAAGTGATGGCAAAATCAGAAAGAAGTGATGACAAATTTAGGCCAACTTCATTCACAGATAAGCCTTTTGATTTTCACTAAAATCTGGATTTGAACAATTAAAAATACTTAAGTCTACAAGAAAAGACCAAATTCTGTGAATCTCCTGACAGTTCACCTGTTTTAATTAAGCAAAATGTTTTCACTACATTGCAAAATTATTTACCGTATGCCCCTCCCCAACAAAATGTTAATCGTGATTCATGAACTGTCCAAGCTCATTACGTACTAGCTTGAACACCATGCACTTGTACATGAACACGTATCATCTAATGATGATGAATAGAGACTACATTCAGACACTTGAAAGCCACTACAAATATGCCCAGCATCAACACTTGACAATCCAATAGGCCTATAGCCTTGCATCTACTGGCCATGCACACTCCACACCATGAGGCGTTAACCAGTGCATTACATAACAGGCTCCCTCTTACAAGTCTGCTATCCACTGTGCCTGAATGGATCTATCAAACCCACCTAACATTTTCTTCATGGTAGATTTCTATGGGTACATACAGTACATGCACGGTGCATTCCGACCATATTCCCAAGATGCATTTGCGGAATGTGGACAGCAATATAAATCATTGCTCAGCAATGATACACTCAGAATACATGCATTATGTGCCAGTCATGCCCTTCTACTGTTCCGTTCCCTCCTAAACTCAGCCTGCATACTGCATTCATTAACAGATCAGGGGAGGGAAGGGGGAGGGGGAAGAAGGGGAGGAGGGGGAGGATGAGAGCTATGCAATTTCTTTTACTATTTCCATGTCCCTTCCAGTAAGCATGAAATTGTCTGATCCCTCGTGAAAGGTTACACAAAAATCTTCTAGACCCCCCAAATTCCCCCCCCCAAAATTAGTTCTGGATCCACCCTTACCTTTATACCTCTATTGCAGTTTCAGAGTGAAGGAAAGTGACTAACTGTTTTTAACATTACAAGCAGAAGAAACCCTGATTCTACTGTACATGTATCCAAAGTAAATTTTCTTATTCGATTCTATCCAGTTGAAGTAAAGTTGGGTTAAAAAAGAGGCCTATATTACATGTACAAGGAGCCATGAGTGCTGAAGGAAAGATTTCACTTAGCGACTATCATACCCTCTCCATTTAAAAGTAAAAAGAAACAGGAAACAGCAATTTCGGGCAAATAACCGATTGTCCCTGATCACAACAAAGGTAGATGGTACACCCGTAATATGATCATTCAAGGGTGAAATCTAGGGGAAAGTGATTTACAAATTAGTTTGCACAACAGCTAATCTAACACATACTCTCTGGACTACAAGTGCATGTATTTTACACCAACATACAGGTACATTGTGCCAGTACATGAGACACAATGAGTGCAGAAAATTGTTGGGTGGACTGCACATTCTCAATGCTCTTTCTCTATTTTTTTTAAACTGAATTAGTTGCACAAAGCAGTGTCTGAGCATTGCTACAGCTACATGCACATGTAAATGTATAAGGGAAGACATTAGGAAAGAAATGGTACATGAAAATCAATCAGTCACACCAGTAATGCACGTACATTGTTTCATGATAAATGTAACCTATTTGATGAGCACAGCTTTCTGTGCAGTCTTATAATTACAACCCAGCAATCCACATACAGAATGTACCTGTGCTCAATCAATATAGTGCCTACTGCAATACTGAATGCAATTCTCATCTGCTGAGTTAATTAGTAGAATCAGTAAACCCAACATTTGGCATAATATTAACTGCCTCTTCACACAAATGGGCATGGAAAGATATACATGTATGGATGCAGCATGACATCATGTGCATGCATAAACCCAATGAGACTGGTCTGAACAATGCCAAGTGTTTTCTGAGTGAACACTTGAATATTTTCACTGCTAAATTTGACTTTTTTTTATGTTACTGCTTTCACTGAAATGGTCAATACATATTCATGTAGGTCACTACGAGGAAATAGTGGCATCTGTTAATGGATTTCTTTCCATAGGCACATTTATGTAGATATATCTAGACATTTTGGGTGGGAGGGGGTGTTTTACCAACGACTTGAACGAGTGCCCATCAAGCATTTCTAGCACCGGCGTGCAGGGCCGCCAAGTGTAACACTGTTACTGGGACAAGGTCAAAATCCAAAAATTCGAAATTTTTTAGTCGTTGGAGAAGTGCGCACTTATTGAATTTAATCCGTAGATAAACATACAGAAAAACATGGTTACTCCATCGGCATGATTAGCTTAAGCTTTGTTGTTTTACGGACACGTTCCACGAATCATGGTAAGGAACGACACATCGTCAACTTGGCAAGTTGACCACATGGCATTGTGATTTTCTCTGGACTGGTCGACTTCAATCGGAACACGAACCATTCAAAAACTAACAGTCATCAGCCCACAAAATAGATATCCTGTGGCTAAAAACTTACCAAACTGCGCCTGTTTCTCGCACAGAGTAAGTTAATGCGACTCTCACGCTGGGGAGACACTTCACTGCATTTCCGCCTCAACTACCACACCTCCTCATCAGCTAGAGTCAGTGGACCGAATGAGAATGCAAAGTGACAGTGCTGTACATGACGTACGCGTCAAGTGTGTACCATGTACATGTACACATACGACTGCACGTGCTCAGTGAGTGGTGACAGGGCGTTACATAAACGAGAGCTCAGGGGGAGGGGAAAGTCCCCCAGATTGTGTAGCACTCATATTAACAAACTGCGTTGCTCGTTCCAGTTGTCAGAAAGGGAGAATCTCATTCAGACGGCCGATTGCATCAATAAAATTGCCAGGGCAGCGGCGCTTCCCCACTCACTGGTCCGCTGATCAAACATTACTAATTATTCCATAGAAATACCTAAGTCGCGCTTTGAACGTTGACAGACAGTTTTGAAAAAAAAATTTCAGCTTGCCCCCACCTAAAACCTGGATACACTAACTGGATTAGTCCAGAAAACAAAATACAATCAGTGATTGGGATAATACGATACACGTGCACTCTTATCCGCGACTAAATTCGTAATTATGTACATTATAACAACAAACTAGAACACGTATTGTCATTAAAGTAACACGCAGAATCATAACAATTTTGTCAGCACAAATTTACGGGACATTTCCTCAGTAGAAAGGAAAAACAGAGGTTTAAATGAAAAGGATGCAAGATAAACACACAAGGACCAAAAATCAAACTAAGAAGAGAAATCAAATCACAAGGATATAATTAATAAATCAAAAACCCAATCGAGCATTTTAGCAACACTATCTGTAACATCAACAGGTTTATAATGACAGACGCATTGGATTTCACTCAGTGCACTAGGAAAGGTGGAGCATTAAACTAAATCTTCAAGTACAGTAATCCTTCCTTCAAGGCATTGATTAAAAAAAAACAGAAACAACGGCCAATCATAACATTAAAAAAACCGAATCGAAACAAAAACTTAAGGGAAAAAATCAGTGAAAAAGGGAAGAATTTTAAATGGAAAGTGTGCTAAAACTAACTGAAATAGCCCCAACCCAATGCCCGCGGTTAATAACGGTTATGCGGTGAAGTTTTGGCACAGCATTTATATTTAATTTTTAGATGTTTCCTCCTGATCCAAGTTATTTAATTGGGACTTTTGGTGGGCAGGGGTGGTGGCGATTCCTTTCTACAAAGGCAAAAATATTGTGGCACTGCCAAAGTAAGTAGATGATAGAATTAAATTAGAATATTAGGCTTGGTGGACCTTCTTTGGACTTCAAATCATCTATGTTCCTGCTATAAAATATAGATAAGAAATAAACACTATTAAATGCGTAAAACTCCCATTAAACGGCAACCCACTCTCATCGACCCCCAGTTTAGTTCCAGGGACAATCTTTTAAAAAGTTCCATTCATGGCAAACAAATACAGAGCGATGCTTTTATTTACACCTGTGGAAACTCGTTACATAGAGAAAGTGTACAGTCAACGCATAAAATAATTGAGGGCGCCCCGCAAGATCAACGGTCAGCCCAAAGTCTCTATGGTCGAGTTCGGGCGTGTGTTCTTGACCAGGGCCGTTTTCCAATACTCAACTTCGGCTCCGTTTCAGGCTTCAACTGTTTTTTAACTAGCTGCCTTTGAAGCTGTAAGCGCAGTAATTAGTCTTATATTGCCACAAATTATCCAATAAGATGCAAGAATACCAAAAATCACAGTAATCCAATTTAATTTAAACGCTTCAGGCCCACAATCGGGGATTGATTTTGGGAACGAAGCCTGATACGGAGACGAAGTGAGTATTCAAAAACGGCCCGGGTTTCTCTTTTTTTTTGCGCTCGAACGGCGGGAGGGAACACGACTCAAGAACACTGTTCTCGGAACGGGATCACACACCACCGCCTCCTCGTCAAGGTTTTCACACGCGAAAATTCGTGAGATTTTGATTTTTGAACAGCTGCAAAAAGTAGAGAGATGGTTTACAAAGCCAGAGACAATGGGAAGTTTTGCAAAATTAACATTAATCACTTTTCATAACACAGAAATGAATGTTCCTGTTTAAACAGAAAAGAATTCAGCCCAGTGATCCAAACATTAAGTCTCAAATAACGTTCAAAAAACCCCTGTAATGTCGGCTTGCATGTTATCGTTCCCAGACATTTCAATGGGGCTTGAATAAGTGCACTGGCACTGCACCCTACAGACTTTCTACACGCGGTTGAGGGCGCGCAGCCTTGTCAACTGACCAAATAACGGAATCCAAAGGACATCGTTAAGCATACCCCTTTCTATTTACACAGTATTCCTGAAAAACTACAACTCTCGAAGATGTTAACAACACACACTAACCCATATTTGGATTTTCATTTCATAACGTCATGGAGTTTTCAAGGCTTGCCAGTACAAATGTACACCTCGCATAAATCTCACTGAATCTCGGATTTGAAACATTACATGATGGACTAGGGGTGCAAGAGAGGTTCGTCGGAACACCACATGAAATCGATCTCTTCTAGAAATGTGGTGGTTCCGAGAAGAACCGGCAAGTGGGAACTCTGAATTTTGACCAGGATGCTCTGGTCATTCCTATTCTCAGTCCCGAGGATAACCAGACCATCCTGGTTGCACCATCAAGTTTCAATTCACCGGTGCTTCTTAGAACCACCACTCTCCTAGAAGAGATAGATTCCACGTATTGAACCCGCAAACCTTTTCAGTTATTAAAACTAACCACACTGTCCATTTTAGGTATGCGCCTGACCACCTCAGACTTTCGGAATATTCAGGAAAAAGGGCTCTGAATACGAAAACCCCTATCTTTACTATTTGTCAATAGTTTACAAAACTTCAGGTTTCTGAGAAGATGAAACTGTAGAGTTCTGTGCGTCTCGGACGTATGTCACCATTGTGAGTCTCGAGTCACTTAGCAGAGGGTGGATTCCAAATTCGGTAATGGGATGGGAGGTTCCAGATTTTGTAATGATTGGGGGGGGGGTTCAATCAACCAATTACAAGCCTTCTATTGAAAACAGATGCCCCCAATAAAAATAACAATCAGGTCTGTCTTAAATATTTGTTTCATTGGTTTATGCAAAGTTACAAGCTTTATTATTGTAGGTCTCACAGCAAGTTTACAGCTACAAAAAAATGCTGTGGGAAGATTTTACCAATAGTTATAGACAGTCTTCCATACCGACAAGAACTTTGAATGTCAAAGTGCCAAGAATGCTGATGGCAAACTCAACATCACATCCTGTCCACATCCACACGTACAACCACATGTACTTTCACTGAAACTTTACGTCAATATCAAATTACCTCACTTAATACTAAATTCCTGGGGCTAGGTTGGGTTGGCTTTCGAGATGTCAACATACAGTGTATGAAATGGGTGACCCGTGAGTCAAGTCAAAGTAAGAAGTGGAACTAGGCAAATTATCTTGTTCTAACCAGAACCTCGTTATAATAAAGAACTGGAAAACAAGGAGAAATATTGAAGAGACTTGGGACTGAAAAGATACTCTTTACAGTGTTTTGATCTGACAAGAGTGTTCTTTACATTCAGGGTTGCCTATTTAGAGAACATGAATACATCAGAATAGACAATATAGGTATTGTATGACTATAGAAAAATATACTGCCAGAATTTTTCTTTAACCTTGTCCATTTCTTGGGTGAACTGAATACACCATCATTTTGTTGTAACTATGCAGCCAAAATCTGTAAAACTCATAAAAAGCTCAGGTCTCAAACTGCTTCTGAAACTAACAAATCTTATCATTAACATCCATGTACATGTAAACTTTTCATCAAAACTGCAAAATATCTGCTATTCTTTCCTTCCAAATGACAATGCCAGATAACATGATTTCAAAGGGTATTTAACAACATCCAGGTCTCCAAGTATGACTTTCAATTACCTACATCAGGCTTTCCCTAGCTCTGGCTAGGAAGATGGCCGTGTTACTCACTGATAAAATTCAACAACCATTGAAACTTACTGGTAAAGGGAAGCGTCTGTGCAAAGCATTACCCATGCATTTTAATTCTTGACACTGATCCCTTTTTAACCCTAACCATGCTGAACCCACCAAGGTTATGCAGGATTTCAATGGTTCCTAGAGGGTTAGGGTTGCATGTACAGCATTGACTGTACCAGTCTGTTAATTTGTTACTGTATTCAAGGAGGCAACTAATTGACAGTTGTGACTGCATTCACGGAAGTGTCGGTTGCATGTTGCAATCGAAGAGTGATGACTTTGAAGACCTCCCCCCTCTCTTCAGATTGGGACCTTCTACTCGTTGCCTTGCCATTGGTGAGACTTGTACGCATGGTGGAAATGAATTTCATGGGAAATAAACATTCATCTCCAACCAACTGGATGATTTGACAGGTGGGACCAGGTTCTTCTGTGGCAGAAGGGAGTGGAGGTAATAGGGAAGGTGGGAGACATGTTGGGTCCAACGTGAATCACCAAAAGCTGACTTCTTTCATTTTCTCCCCGAGTTCCCACCCTGCTCTGGTCAGTTCTACCATGATGAGCAGCTCTCTATGTACAAGCACATGATGAATCCTGCTCCACCGTGCGACTGGTCTGCATGGTAGCAGACCAGTTTTAGTAGACGGGCTTGGGTTTTTGTGTTAGAAGCTGTCCAAATCGCTTCTTGATGGTAACCCTTTCCCTTGAATACTTGTCATCAGGAGAAAACCTCACTGAAAAAAAATAAACGAAAGTATGTCTTATGAACACAGCACTCTCTCTGACCAATTCTGCCACATACATCAGCAAAACCTACATCAATAAGTGAGCTTTTTCTTTTTGACAAGACAAGCATTTCTGGAAAAGTGCTTCACTTCAAGTTTTTAACCAATGACAGTCTATGTCAGGAGAAATCTACTGCTCATATCTAATAAACAAATATTGACTGCTTAATTAACCCTAACCTCCAAGGGTTGCTGGCCCTAACCTTCCCCATTCACAGAAAGTTATATGGGACTTTGTGCACAGAGGCTGTTGGACTTTGTTTTTCTGAGGTATGCCAAACCCAATCCAAAAGCCAGCTGTTATGGGCCAACCAGACCTATCCCCACACAATTAAACACTTTACAACTGTTTAATTCTGTGTGGTTGGGGAAGGTTAGGGTTAAATGGTGTGGTAAACATTACCCATAATACAAACCCGTATGTATTTGCATACAAAGTTTTTTTTTGCGTGTAGTTTGGTTATAGTACATGTACTTCTGGCTATGCACAGTAAGACGGCAAATGTAGTGTATACCATGTGACAAACTCTTGGCCAATCAAGAATACAGAATCTACGAGGTGTAACAAGGCTCGTGTTTGTTACAAATGTCTGCTTCTCAGGTAATAATAAACATTCTGGGGGTTAGAAATACCTGCATCATTCTAATCTGGATACGGAGTGGTAAAAATTGAAGAAAAAAAAAATTGCGTTACTAAGTTGTAATCAAGGTGAAATATTGCTCTCCGACAAGCTGGATATTTTGCTTGTACGTGCGTTTTTTGTTTTTTTTTAAAGCTCAACTTGTGTGTGAAAGTGTCATCACCACTCTTGTAACTGAACATCGACATCTGCCTAATCCTTGTCAAATCACTTTGTTACCTGAATCCAGATAGTCATTGATTTCTAAAATCCTTAATTATGACTTGTAATCATCATTATCTTAATTATCTAATCACCAGAATAATTACAAAGACATCCCTTGAGCAGGAATTACAAAAGTGAGTATAATTTGGTTTAACTAGATATGTCTGGTGGGATTTCGCTTAACATTTACCAGTTAATTTGAGTTGTACTTAATGTACTGAATTGACAGTATATTGGAATTACATGTACTGTGCATGTCTGTCCTGTCACGCTACATACAAGCTTACACCCATGCATGGGGCATATGTCTTTGCTGGGGACAGTTAGGGCTCTTCTCATAAATCAACTGTTATAAACATGTTACATTGCTGGGCTTTCTAGAGTCAAAGATTTCTGAAACCAGGCCTGCACTCATATAACAAAGACCGGAGATATAAACCTGATTCTAGGCTGTCAAACCAGGTTGGTTGCCTCCCTCTCTTCAGCCTGTGTCTTTGACAGTACTTCAACTTTTAGCTTGGTTTCTGGCCTGAAGACAATGTGCAAATCTTTAATGTTTAGATCAAATAAACAACTCCTTCCTGGGCCTCATATCATACGGCCTGATGTTCCTCCAGCAAAATACTAACTCATACTGAGCCTCAATCTCCTAAGTTAGCGACTTGAAAACAAAACCTAAACACGACAATAAATAAATTTGAGAAAATAGTCTTGAACAGGGAAAAATATCATACCTGGGTGTGCTGACTGTGTGGGTTTACCATGCGGATCCACTTTCTGAAAACAAAAAAAAAGGGATAATTGCTTAAAACTTCATATGTGAACAGTTTGACCCAAAAGACATTTTTTGCTTTTGACAAAATTAATGTGCCTACAAAAAAAGCATGGCAGGAAGACAAAGGAACTGAAACTGTGCCTGGCTCCTCACCATTTCCATCCATTATAATAAAACCCTTACATGGGATAAGAGACAAGGACAAATGCAACAGTGAATCAGTGTCAAAACTGGGGAATCAGGGTCAGAAACAACAACAGATCTCATAGTACCACAAACTTAGACCTTAGGAGTCACTCATGAACTTGATGACTTGATGCAGTGCGTAATCTGAATTCAGGAGGATGATATACATGTGCCAAGGTTATCTAGTTCGACAATTTTCATGTGGTTCCTCAGCTGGGAGTAGCTCATCATCTTTCCATTAACCCTCCTATGCTAAGATGCATTCTTGACACGGATGTCATATCAGTCAAAATCAGTCAAATTTCCCATACGTGTCTGTGTACTGGGGGGAAATCAATTGGAAGGCATTTTTGACTGTTTTTGACGGTTAAAACAGAAGGAGGGTTAATATCTTTTTGCATCAGTGCTCTTAAACCTGACTGAGTACATTGTTATTGAAAATGACTAGTTCATGTCGGATTTGGGCAAGTTCGGGCAATCAATAAAAGAACTCCATGAAAGACAGTCTGAAATGAAGGCTGGCGTTTGATGGTTGATAGCCCATACCGAGAGAGATGTCCATTCCCTGCAGTATCTCGTTTTAGACGACGAAGCTGCTTTCTCCCTGGACGACAAGGTCAATTAACACAATGTTTATGAATATGTACCGACTATGACTGGACAAGAAGTCAGGGAAATGCTGTCACTATCAGCTTCAAATTTCTATTGACCGGGGCGGTAGACATGTTGAAGCTGTGGGTGTATAAAAGCACAAGATAAGAAGATATCTTTCCAGTCATTCCTGAAGAAAATCATACTGACTTTCACCGATAATCCTGTCTTTTGAACAAGTCATTTTCAATTACCTTATACTCGGTCATATTGGACAGCAATGATGCAAGAAAGGCTTAAATGGAAAGACGATGAGCCAAGTCTACTCTTGATTGGTGAACCACTAGTCGACACCTAATACATGTAGTTACACGTACTCGGACTAGTGTGAATCTCATGAAATTCTGAAACTTTTAATGTCATACCCTTGGCATATTAACCCCATCTTTTTGGGTACCACAGTACAAACTTTTTTGCGTTGAATGACATCATTAGCCAGGTACGTTTGCATGGGCTTAGAACAGACCAATGAGGAACAAGGGCTTTTCCTCAGAAGAGTTTGCTATTCCTATGAACGGCAATGGAAATACATGCAACCTAGGAATAATCTTGGGACACCTTTCTTTGCCAACTTTCATTTAGAATTTTGGCTAAAGTTATGTGATTAAAAATCTTCGATGCAAATCAGCATCATTTGATTAACTGTCATCAAGGAAATTTGTCCTTTAACTTAGCTGTCACCGGCTGAACATAAACAAACAGTATTGAGCTGGGCACATGCCCAGTAACTTTTTGCAGTTGGAACATTCTTACCAAGAGAAAACTTTGTTTCGTTCTTCGCCAGCATAGTTGCTGTGACTTTGTATTCAGGTGGGAATCAGACCATTTTACAATATTTGACTTTTTTTCGTTTTTTCCTCTAGAGCCATGAATCAGAAAAAGAAGATCTAATACTATGAAATTAAATTTTGGGTCAACTGAAAAAAAATATTCTTAATTTTGGGGAAAAGTTGATAACTGGGAATCAAACCCAGCTTCGGTGGTCATGCTATGAAAATGCCAACAAGTGTCAAAGAGCCTCAGTGAACACAGCGCCAACAAGCATCAAGTATTTGAAAATACCCTCTAAAGATTTAAAGGTGGTGTCATCGTATCAAAGAGACTCTCACATCTGCAAATTTTTTTTGGGATATACATGTACACTGTACATGAAAGGAGCTGCCATCTTTCTTTTCTCTACTGTCTACGTGAAAACAGGATGGCGGTCGGTCAGGCTACATAAGGAGGGCTTACTTTGTTGCTCAAATTTCCATTCAAATATCATTTTAGATAAAATGTGATGTATTGAATAAATATTATTACACCACAATATTTGTACATAAAATGTTTGATTGATGCTTGTCATGCTGGTTGGTACTAAATAGCATGACCCCAGTTGGAGGAACACCGTGAAAAATAATCATGATGAGGGAAGTGTTATTAAAAAGTAGGGAAAGAGTTCCATATCCATAACATGACATGTACCATTATATGGAGAACACTTAATGCCCCTGTGCACAAACCCTAGGAGATTGAAAAAAACTTGAGTATTTTCTAAGTAAATGCTTCAGAATTTTCTCAGGCCTAGCTAAATTTCACTGTTTAGGACACTGTTATCAAAGTTTTGCTGTTAATTTAAGGGAATATTAGTGGTGTCCATAGGCCTATAATCAATATCATGGAACTCTTTCATGCATGTCTTTTCCTAAATTCCAAAATACGTAGGAATAAGCCTTATCGCAAATACTGCATGGTTGATTTTGTGCGATGCCTTTTTACCATTGTGCAAAATCACCCGTGCAGTATTTACGATAAAGCTTATAAGTTACATCCACCTGATACACGATAATGTTACGGTTAGGTTTATTTTTATTTTAGCCATCGCTGGGAAATTTATCTAAATGACATGAACAATTTTGAGCTGGGCACATGAGCAACAACATAAATAGGCCTAACTGCTTCTTGACTTAAAAAAAAAATTCCTAACGTTAGGCCATAGGCCCTATACAGGTCCCATCAGGTACATGGAAGGCCTAGGCCTGTATCAACATGATCAAGTCGTAGGTAGACCTATGCGTAACGTTATGCCTATGCCTGGCATTTGGCAGGCAACCAGCAGCATGCATAATTGCATGCCATGTTCAACCATGGCTATGGTTCAACAGCTGCAGCTTGAACAGGTCAAACGAATCTTGGCATGGTCATGATGATGCACAACATGGAGACAATTTGAAAAAAATACCTACTTGGAGGGTATAGACTCTGTCACCATTTTCATTTAGATAGTACATAAGATACATTCTGATTTGGCAGTCTCACTCTCTGCCACTCTTGAGTATCAAATGCGTGCCCCACACATGCACACTGTGTCGCTAGCTAGCTCGCGCTGTAGTATACTATAGTGCACGTGTGGCAGATTACGGCCACGAGGCCGTATCCGACTCACTCGTATCATTGAATTCGTGGCTACGGCGTTTCCTTTATGAAGTTGGTGCACTACAGCCAGCCGCAGGCAGCAGTACCAGTAAGAGGCTTACCTATAAGTTCACTTCAAAAGGATTTAACTGGTTTTACGCATCCATATCTGTGAGGTAGCATAAAGATTGGCGGATACCAGTTTATACAAGTTTCTTGTCTGTTTTGTCACTGTCTTTCCCACTGGGCTATCCTTAGTCGTCGACCGTTTGGAATAAACGGAAGTTTAATGAAATTAAATGCACTTTTTCAATATTATTGAAAATATTATTGCACAATCGCATTACAGGAAATGTACTATTGGTTATATTTTTAATGTATACCATAATCTTTCAGAGCCCGGTTAGCTCAGTCGGTAGAGCATCAGACTTTTAATCTGAGGGTCGCGGGTTCGAGTCCCTCACCGGGCGGATCACACTTTTTTTACATTCTTTTTTATTAAAAAATTTAAGTAACCGAACTTAAAATACCACTGATCAAGTCCAAATCCGAGACTTCTTACTCCTTATTTAGTGGGTCTGGATGGTACCCTAACGTGACTTGGCCCGCATAACATGGTGCACTTCCATTTTTCGCTTGTAGAGCCTTAGTGGAACAATATTTTACCTCAGGTTTCACAATAATTAATTTTCATAAAGCTCTCATTATTGCCATACATAAATGTTGAGTTTACGTACCCTCTACAACATAACACTGATATTCTATTTTGCCTGATTTTCTATTTTTTATGAATTGAAAAATAACTTTTAAAATAGGTCCAAAACTCAAAATTTGTAGTTAGGTAAATTCTTTATTGTTAATATGAAAATTCCTGAGATTTGTTCAAGCACAGAACAAGGAATTTAGCCACGGGAGGGAACACTCGGCTGAATTCGTGCCTGATTTTCGGACGCCACCTTTTAAAACATTTTGCACTGAGTTTCATGACAATTAAATTGTTCTCCCGCATGTATCATAACAGTGATGGCACCATTATTTAACTGAATGCATTTGAAGTTTTCAACAAAGGTGTTTTGCAGCACTGCATCAGGAAAGTCGAGGGAAAAGTACGGTGCGCCACGGAGAGGGGGGCTTCATTTTTTGGAGTCTGTATCGCCGACAATATTGAGTGTAGCGCCGTTATCTCAGAACGTCAACATAGTTCCTGCTGTTAACGATTTCGAAAGACTTACTAAAAAAACTTCCTTGACTTGAAGTACTGTTTTTGGTTTTTCAAGTGTTTTGATTTCGTAAAAGCAACTCAATCATCCACAGCTCGGCAAACTTTTCTGTAAAACCTGAGCTTTGAAAACAAGTATGAAAAACCATTCCGGTCATTCGACTAACAGGTTTTCCTAATGATGCCTATCGTTAACAACATAATACTTGAATTTAACAATTTAGTCATTTGTTCAACTGGAGGTGCCTCGAGCAATTTTCCAAAATGGCAATGGGCCTCATGACTGTTTTGAGGGGTGATAAAAATTGTCTTTGGAGAAAAACATCTTAAACGTATCGGTTAAGCCACTGAAAATTGAAAGGAAAATAAAAGACGAGGAAGTTAGCTTTAATTTGATATGTGTCTTGAGCACCTGGGAAACTTGAGAGTATTTTTTTCTGGTTTTTTAAAGTGGGTTTTTTATCACTGTTGTCTACGGCAGCTTCATTTACTCGTCTGCTACCGCGTACCCTGCTATATGAAGTGCGCCCTCATAAGTCTGCTACGCATTGGTACGGTTGGTACCGTAGTTCTAGTTCAGAACCAAAATACAGTGTTGTTCAACCCTTCCTCTATATTGAGCATGATTTGTATCGATATCGATAGCCGATGCCCTGCCTTGCGCCAACGACGGCTCGAGCGTGATATTGTCTAGGGCGTACATCGGGTAGTACATGTCCCACATACAGAGAGTTGACGCTTCGGTAAGAAATCCATACTTTGGACCATGATCGGACATCAGCCGTGCCACAAGTCCCGGTAACCGTAATCTCACGCAGACATCACAATTCATGCACAATGTCAATTGTCATGAACATGATGAATGTGATAAACAGGATAAATGAAACTCAGCTGTGCCACTTAACTTATTATGGGAGAAGAAACTGGTCTGAAAATTCTAAATTAGATTTAGGCCTAGTCCGAGTAGGCCTAACTTGAACTGTATCATTCTATGAATTGCCTTCTCAAGAAACATTTTGACATGATGGTGGGGTGACTAGGCCCAGCCCCCATATCGTGTCAAAATGTTAGAAAGGGAGATTCGTACCGGTAAAGTCCTAGTTAATCGAACGACGCCTACCACGACTATGTTAGACTATAAAGCGGTTTTCATTCTGGTTTATGCAATAGGCTTGTTACGCCCCAACTACATGTATAGCATGAGTCCCAACTATAGTTGGGACAGTCCCAACTGTAGTGCTGCAGTTGGGCTGGCCCAACTATTGTTGACCAGTGTCTGTGGGAAATGTCTCAACATTATCCAAGTCAATGTGTCTCACACTTGACACAATTCATAAAAAATGTGGCACTCAGACCTATGACCAATAACGTGACATTTGTAAACAATACGACTTTGGCACATGCTGGGCACATCATGCACACAGGACCTCTCTGCTGTAGTTGGGCCGGCCCAACTGTAGCACTCTAGTTTGGACGGGCCCAACTATAGTTGGGATGGGCCCAACTATAGTTTGGACGGGCCCAACTATAGTTGGGACTGATGCTATAGTTGGGGCGTAACAGGCTTACGTATGGTACCTGCATAATCCCTGTCACCTGATTGGTGGATCATTGACATGGGGTTCATTACCTAGCACCCCGTATAATTAGGCCTTTAAGGGAACAAATTCTACTTTTTCGAAATAACTTACCTCAAAAAGTTGTTGGTGATGTCCTGTTTCATTTCACAAAGAAAAGAGAAGAGGGCTTTTGGTTTTTGAGGGAAATTTTTGGGTAAACCATAAATGTCAAATAAGCGAATATAGTCTTTTCCTTGATCTGGATGGAGATTTATTTTCATGAAACCAAGAAGCCTGAGTCGAGTAATCAGACGAAAAACAAAATAGCGTCATTCGACTGAGTAGTTGTCTTTTGCCAAACTTGCGTTAGAAATTTGAAGTTTTCTTGCTTAAATATTGTAAATATTTACATAAACTAGGCCTATAAAGATTGACTAATGGTTCTTTAAGGTCAAAATGTTAGTTGGAGAAGGTGGACTTTGTTTCCTTATTATAGGAACAGGGTGCTAATGGTAATGAACTTCATTGACATTGATGCACTGAATTATTTGTTCTATTCCACGTTGCCCCTTGAATTGAATTTCACTGGACTGGTCCTTGCAAATGGGAGCCAGTCTAACATTACTCTGTAATGGGTGGCATTTGGGATACAAATCTGGTTTGCAAAATGGCAGACGTTTAATACATGAGGACCATTTGTTCTTCTAAAACTTTCAACTTCAAAGAAGAGGATTTAGGCGAAGTGAAAATTTAAAAGATATTTGTCATCCCTGCCTCCTTCCTTTTTTGGACCTGCGTGCATTTTTTTCTTATTGTTTATTTACCACAATGTCTTTAACTCCTTGACGCCGAGACTTTTTTCTGAAAGCCGACTCCGAGAATTCCAGCCTCGCTTGGCCACGAAGGCCACCTGCCAAACTGCAAATTCTCTGTTTGTGGCCCTGTGTGCTCTCATGCTTTGATTTACACAGTGAAAAGGCTGATTGTTCGGTGGCATGCAGCTCTACTTACACTTCCACATTCCCGTTGCCTCTTTTCAGAGTGGGGACTATTGTGAAGCTGGTGATTATGATGCAAATTCGGCCTTTTCATTTCTTGGCAACACACAAAGGCCAATCGCCATATATACAAGAGCCAGGGTCTGCCTTCTTTCACCGTGTTCACTCGAGCGTGGGCCGAGAATACTAGCTGAAAAGCGGGCTGAGGGATCTCAATTTTTACAGCGTCTTTTACCGCTTCCCGATGAGAAGGGGTTAAAAATTTTTAAAAATTCCCCAACAATCCATCGGAAATGACTTACATGTGCATGTATATGATGTACCTTCCTTCGTTTCTCTGGTTAACCCTCCTATGCTAAGATGCATTCTTGACACAGTTGTCGTATCATTCAAAATCAGTCAAATTTCCCATATGTGTCTGTGTATTGGGGAAAATCAATTGGAAGGCATTTTTGACTGTTTTTGATGGTTAAAACAGAAGAAGGGTTAAACTCTCTTAGTAACTTTCTATGCCGTGTACCTGGTGTAGCTTCCATTCGCTTTAGTGCTCCTGTAAGAGTCTGTACTAAAATTCAAGAACACAATAAACAAAGTGTGGAAACAAAGGGTGTGGTGTAAACACAATTTCATTTATTATACAAACATTCTGTTGAGTCAAGGATTGCCAGAAATCTCAAATTTTGGCCATTTTATAAAAAAGTACAAAGCACCACCGCCTCCTCTATTATGAAAAAAAAATCGGATGAGAACCCTTTTTTTTTACTTGGCCTTATGCAGGTATTGCATAAAACACATAACATTGGTGACCGTATAGTTGCCAGGTCCCTTATTTCGCCACATAATGTGAAAACCAATCAAACTTGACAATAGGTGGGGAAATTATTGACCATGGGGACCACACATGAAGTTTAGGCCTATTGAATGTTTTACATGTTTACAGTGGTAAGAATAATTTCATTCCGTGACAGATAAAATGCTTCATTCCACTCGGCTTTATCGTGAACAGGTCTAGACAATTACCCGATAACAGGTGACAAAGTTAGCGACTTTTGCTTTGTTGAAAATTGGCTGTTCTTATCAAATATTGATGTGAAAACATCTCTACCATCTGTAAAAGGAGTCAGATATATGTATCACTTTTTAAAGAAATGTTTTGTTGGATGAAGAGTTCACGACCCCCTCCTTTACATGTGGATTTATGAATGAACTCTTCACTAACTGCCTTTTTCCTAAAGAGCTCCTGTGATGGAGCTGCTTTGGGAAACATTGCTTTGACATGATTTGTTCCTTTCATTATAGATGCATTGTGACAGTGTGAAAAGAGTGAGCATGTGTAGAATTCTGTCACCATGACTACAGTTGAGGTAATCTGCCCCTCACCAAAGGAGCTGATGGAGCAGCCTAAACGCAATGTTCCTTGCACGGTAGACGGCTGCGACAAACTGTTAGCGACAACAGCGGCTCTCAAAATGCATGTTATAAAGCGGCATGGAATATACAAGGTAGGCCTCTGGATAGCCAAGAATAGGGTCAGTTTGTTGGACCACATCCTTGGCCAAAGGCCCCAGCAGCAGGCAGCCAACCAAAGGCCCCAGCAGCCAAGGACATAGTCCAGTAGACTGGTCCATCATGGTATGACCTGAGCTGTGAATAGATAAATCCAACGAGATGCCATTCCAAGGGGCCATTTACACTCACACAGCTGTCTCAACCTGAACACGCCAGCGCACTTCTGCAATTGACTACTGCCTATTGGTCAAGGAGAAATTTCACATGCGGGCACCTGCGTGTGAACGGGATGGCCCCTTAGTAATGGCTTCCAATTTTGGAACTAAAATTGCTGTTCATTATTTGTACAGTAAAGCATGCGGCTACTTCATAGCAACTGCCTGCTTGCACTGGCGCACATGCCTGCCGGTTTGTTGCCAGCAGTGGTGACACTTATGTCACAACTCTTTCTTTACACGGCTCTGGGTCCGGGGCTAGGCACTGGACCGACACTTCATTAATATGGGAACTGTGTGAATTAATTCAATTTTTCTGGATTGGAGGAGTTGAGAGTTTCAAACTTTGTTCGTCAGCACTTGTGAATCTTACTGGCTTGTTTGTTTGAATGCACATTTTTGCACACTCACCTCTAGGTTATTGAGTTAGATTTCAAAGCGTCAGGGATTATAGCGAGTATGTCCTTGGATAAACATCTTTGTTGCTGATCGCTTCTCCTCAAAGTGATACAAGTACCTGAGTGGGCGAAGGATGGCCTTCATGTTTATATTAGCAGTTTCTGCCCAAACGACAGCTTTGAGCTACGTATTAGTACATGTATATCACAGGGAACTCAGGAGGTGTTCAGAATGTTTTAGTGGTCTTTCAAGATCACATATGCTTCATAACAACAATACTGTACAACTGCCAACTGTATTCACGTTATAATGCACTGTCTCCTATCCATGAATAATGGTGTACCACAAGAGTTCATGTACATGTACATTAGATGTACATGTATGTTTCTGGAGGTCAGCATGTATGATGATGCAGAGGTATCAACTTGTGTGGAATTTTGTTCTTTTAAGTGCAAGGCTATTTTTGTTGTTGTGTAAATAGAAATATTTTAGTGAGGTGTTACGATGACTATGGTGGAAGCAAACAAAGCCAAGGTTTTGCCCTTTGTTGGCCAACAAAGGGCAAAATGGCCTTGAAGCTCCAGGTTTGCCGTTGTGGAGCCACATGTATACATTTACATGTATTTAGTGTTGTAGACTTAACAAGTTTTTATTACCCCTGACCCTACCAAATTCTTCAAAATTCAAGGGGGAGAGGATTTGGAAAAATTTACAGAATTCACAGAAGGATTTACAGAATTTGCAGATGGTAAAACCTTGCCGCTGTTGCTTAACATGGTTGGCACTGATTTTTAGAAAACTGGTCTTGACTCCTATTTTTACCCTCAATTCTCTATATCTCAGTGAGATTTATTTGCAGGGGCATACTTTACAACATACTCTTCCACTTTCACTTTTTCTTCGGCAGAACAAGTCAGAGAGGGAATTGTTTAGCAGGTTCCCACAGTCCAAGACTCCAGCAGTACAGAAGCAATACTTCTGTCCAGTAGAAGGATGCAGTCGCCATAAGGCAGGCAACAATCCTTTTGCAAACATGTGGCCTCTCAAGCAGGTATGGATCGATATAGGAGATGGGCGTCAAACCGACTGTCCAGTAGGCACAGCCTTCCTTTCCCAAGGCAGCAAACTATTTATATCTGATGTGTCATAATTTATATCCATTCACATTTGGATTTAGTGTGAACCAACCTGTATAACCTATATCATACGTTATCTCTTGAAAGTTGGTCAAACCTGCAAATTGTATACCCTTGTCAATTTTATAAATACATGTATATGCTGATGATATAAACAAAGTAGAAGTGTGCAGCTGTATTAACTTATTGTTCGTTAAAGGGAGGTTACACCGTTGGTTCTTTGCAGTAATTTCACAAGATTAGCAGATTTGAGATTTAAGATTTACTGCAGCATTCCTTCCACTGACTTGTTTTATGTTTGAGTTACATTAGCCGCTTTTAGAATAAGTGAGAAAAACATGGCGGTGTTTTCAACTGTCACGTCAAAGATCTGGTAATTTATCTTGTGCAAAAATCATGAACTGGGTGTTCTGAGTGAGTGAACAAGGTACTTGCAGGGTCCATCTGCAGATGAACAGGCAGGACAGAAGTGCTTTCCCTTTAAAAAGAGCAGTTTTCCAAGGCCAAGAGAAATCACTAAATTTACCTTGGAGTAATGCGCCTTTTCTTCTGATAAATAATACATTACCAGATCTTCGATTTGAATTCATGGAATTGAAAAAAAAAACTTTATTGAGGACCATAGTGAAGTTACTAAAGTCACTTTGTGTCTGACACAAGGAGTATATGCATGTGTGTGCCCAAGTGTGCTTTATCACTACACTGTTGCGTCAGTTTACGCAGTAATGAATGTCTGCAAGCCCATTCTCGGTTGACAAACTAATGATTGTTGGCACAGAAGAAATTACATCTGGAAACGTAGGGAGTTAAGCCTCTGGAGATCATCGGTTTTGTTGACAAAATTCTCTTACTGTGCAGCTTGAAAAGGGCAGCCAGGTTGGCCAAGCATGCAAAGCTGACAGTGAGTTTGGACTGTACCATAATGGTGTATGGGTGATAGCGAGATTGCAACATTTTGCCATTAAGAAAATCCTTTTTTAAATAAAATTTGACTTCGAACTAATCCTTTATTTTATACCTTGCGCTTATTTTCTTCTTGTTGAGTTTTATTTTCGGTGAATCTCCGCCAGTGTATTTTTTTTAGCTGCATTCAGTGTGACCCATTCATTCAGACTTTTACAACATCTGCACACACCATACACAAGAATGGGTGCCTGTCAACAGAAGTGTTATTTAAAGCCACACAAACTGACCAATAATGGTTGGCTGACCATCATCAGAAAGGAGAACAAAATTTCTTGTTTTTTAAAAACCGGCAGCACTCAGGGCAGAAATTTTTTACAGATTGATTGAGGCTGTTATTTACTTTCTTTCAAGTAATTGAGGATTATTCAGCAGTCCCAGTTGTGTTGTTTTACCGATGGTGGAACCTAACCATACATTGACACAAAGGAAGTATGCTATATTGTTGCTGTAAATTGCAAAATAAGTTGTCACGGACTAGCAGCTTCCCTAGTTTGTTGTTTGCTTTAAATGTGGACACAGTTTGAATCGATTCAGATCTCTATTTCTTCAATTGCACATATTTTTTCTTTAGCTCAGGACCTTTCTACATGTACATGCTTTTGTCAAGAATGTTTTTGCTCTCTTGTTTCAGCACTACCAACAGGTGCACGGTGAGCGCACCTACTTGTGCAGAAAGTGTGACTTTCCATTCGCCTTTGAACTCCAGCGTCGCAAGCATGAGAAGATTTGTGGTACAATATTCACCTGTTCCTGTGGTGTACCCTTCACAACCAGACAGGCCCTGTGTATGCATGCCATGAGAAAGAAACACAAATTGCCTCCTAAAAACTCTGATCAAATGCAAAAAGAGTGAGTTGGATATTTCTTAATATGTTTGTGGAAGACACGCTTATTTGCCCATTATTTCTGATCAGTCAAACTACATAAACAGATTTTGTTTATGAATGCTTGATCAAAGATTTAATGCCAGTTCCAACTCAATCCAACCCAGCCCAATCCAACCCAGCCCCATCCTACTCAGCCCCATCCAACCCAGCCCCATCCAACCCAACCCAATCCAACCCAGCCCCATCCAACCCAGCCCA